GGCTGGGCGCGCGCGCTGAAGAGGGCGTCGGGGTATTACAGGCTGCGCGGCGCGCGGTGGATTCGGTTTGAGAGCCCGGTGCGAGAGGAAAGAGAGGGGCGGGGGAGGATGTTGTCGTTGTTGTTGAGGAGGAGCGGTGATGGAGCAGTTTGGGTTGGTTCTATATGAGATATTACAGACTTGTTTCTCGACACTGCAAGGGGAGGCCCGCTGACAGCTTATGCACAGTTGCTTCTGTAGATGAAAAAGTCTATTTCGCTAAGTGAATTCAAGAAAGATACGAGAGTTTATTCTTACAGTCGAATCTGCCCACCACCACTGCTGTTGCTGCTGCCATTACCACCGAACCAACTTCGGATATCGCTTCTTTCTGAGCCGGCCGAACTGCTTTCGCCGCCACCCATCCATTTGGGCTTCTTGAAGCCCTGTCCCAGGTCCTGGAACCATTTGGGTGTTTCTATGTTATCCACCGTGTTCTTCATGCGGTGACCGATGATCTGAATCAGGCTGTCGTCTTCCGGCGCATCGTCCAGGTAGCGATGGGAGGAGGACGCACCCGCTCTTTGGGCTCCTGTGGCCGAGCCTATACCGATTGTTCTCGGTGCACCGCGGGACGCGCTTTCGCCCGGTGGTACAGACAGAACAGGCGCCGCCCGGTTGTTGCCGCTGCCTGCGGCCGCCAGCCTCGCAAACAGCTCGTCACGGCGGCGGACGGTCTCGCCGCCCAGCTCGCGTTCAATCAGGTCGCGGCCCTCGCGCCACGAGCCCGTGCCATAGCCGGTCAAGTTTTCCTCGTCGTCGTCGAGCAGGTCAATGCCAACAAAGAGACGCTTCGCTCTGCCATACAAGCCAAACGTGGCGGCGAGGACGGGAATGATTAAAAAGTAGGGGAACAAGTCGTCAAACCACCGACCGAGGTGGGTAAAGTCGATGAGACGGCCCAGAAACCCGTAAAAGGCCGTCTTGGTGTACACTTCGCTAGACAAGAAAGTCAAGAAGTTGTACGACAGCGGGACGGTCAGCTTGGCAACCTGCATGGCGTACCAAAAGGCCGCTTCGTAGCCGGTGTTGCGCCGCACGAGAGCGCGTCCGCGCCAGACCTTCACTTCGGTCATGGTCACGAGCGCGGCAGCGCACATGTAGCAGATCCAAAAGGCAGAAATGACTTGTCCGGCGAAGCCCACTTCCGCCTTGTCGCCGACCCAGTGATGAATGACACTCAGACGGATAATGGACAGGTGTGGAAAAGGCAGCTTGACAACTTCGGACCAAACGATGCACGCCGACGCCATGGCGAGTAGTACTCCCAGACCAATCTGCATGTACGGCCCGATCTGGTAATGCCATAGATACCTGGTATAGGGGTTGAGTAGCTTGGCTTTGTCCCATATCCCCGCATGGGGTGATGCGTCCCCGAATTCAAGCTTCTTTGATGCCGCAGAGTCTAGGATCCGCTGTGCCTTCCCAGCCTCATTCACCAAATCGTGCCACTCATGAGCGAAGCGCGACCTCGCGTGCTTAGCTCGAACCAGTCGCCGCGTCAAGTCGGCCAGGTATTTCGGCGTGAAAATATTTGGTACAGTTCGATCCATGGTATTCACATCAAACGCTGTGGCGTGCGGTCTTGTCTCGGCTATGTTGGCGATTTCCTGCAACTCCTCGATCCAGTCGCGGAAGTCGGCGGCGCTGCCAACTTTGCGCTTCGCGAGCTCAGCCACTTGAGCTTCGATTTCCTCCAAGGACGTTACAGAGTCTTCCATTTTCTCGTATGCTTTGGGCGCCTTGGCTTGCATCCGGTGCAGTTTGTTCGCTATGTTGGCGTCGCGGATCAGGCGCTTCGGTATGGAGACTAGCCCGTGTCCCATTAGGTAGATGGCGAAGATCAAACCCCAGCAGTAAGCCAAAGCCATTACTACGGACTTGAGAGAGTCATACGTAACATCGTATCGAACGACGACGTATACGAGTCCAATGATGGCGGAACCCACTATGACGGAGTAAAATTGTGCATTCGATCGGAGCGAGTACATGAGTCGGTCGTAGGGCTCTCGATATCCAGCGTCGGAGTATTCGCCAAGAATCGGTAGTAGGAACCTACGTCTTGTTAGAGTGATTCACGGCGGGTACCATCTCGTACGAACCAAGTCAGGGCAAACGTGAGCCAGTACGTTATCCTCCATGAGACAAGAATGACCCGTTCGGGGAGCCAGATGCCGCGCGTCCCGTCATCGTCAGTTCCTGAGCTCGAGGCCAGGTCTATCGGCACCAAGAGCACAATCACGGACGGGAGCCATATCGCGAAGAAGATGGGGACAGAGTAGAATGCCGGCGTGGACCGGAGCGGCAGATAGTGTCGCAGAATGAGCAGGACAACAAGGGAGATGACGAGGAGCGCGACGATGGAAAAGATAATGGAGCCCACGGGCATCGGGCGACTGGTTGTGTTAAACATACTCGAAGACAGAGTTTGAAGCCATCCGAGCTGGGCCGATTCGAGTATTGCGACAAGTAAGACGGGGGATGGTGTTTTCGCAAAGTCGCAGCCTACGGGAGGGCCTCGTGACGTAAGTCGGGAGTCGGGTCCGTGAAGCCACTGTTAAGCGGCGTTAGCCTGTGTTCTGTAGTATTGCCCAACATCATACAGTACCCATTGCTGCTACCGTGCGAAAGTATGGCATAGATAATATCATTTGATTCTTAAATTCACCAAGATTATTACCCACGCTTGTGTAGCTGATTTTGCTACCTCTACGGCTACCTCATCGTGGCGGCTACCTACCTGTAGGTAACTACAGTGGGTGTATGTACCTAAAGTAGGGAGCTTGGTAAGCCTACAGGTAGTTACCAATTAACACGCACTGATTCACAGGACAGCACATGCGTCAAACAATTATTTTCCACGTCCATTCGTTATCGTGAGACCGGAAATCACTGACTACCATGAAGTTCTGTCAAGGCATTGTATGTACATGCCGTCACCCAACGACCTCGCTAGTTGGTGCTTCAAAGCGCGGCTGCATTTGGCACCAAGATAGTCCGTCTGAGCACTTGTTGATCTTCCCAGAACTTTCATGGCCAACCTGTGCCACCTGCCCAACCTTGACATGTTGCAGTAGTTACACAAGGGTCCATGCGATTGTACGACTAGCTACGAGACTGACCACCCGCGAAGCCTACGTACTTATCACCATCGCGACAGGCAGAAAGCGGGAAACGGAAAACAGGCGCGCCATCACCACCCAATAAAAGAAGGACGACAAGGCTGCATTCTGCAGGAACAGGGGACCTGAAACAAACATCAGCGAACAGGATCAATTCTTGGGTGGCTCTCGATCCGTACCTATGCAGATGGCCAATCACGGCAACGCCCCCAAGGACGCAGGGGGGGTGCAGGACGTCGGCGCTTACAGATTATTATAATTCATCTAGACGGCAATCCTCCCTAACATCTCGGTTTCCTTCTCAAAAAATCTCACTCAGAAAACTCCAGCACTTGCCATAATCGAACCCACCATCTCGCTCCCTCCTCAAGAGCTGAGGCGCCGCGCTCCATGGCGATTGGGTACTCTGATCTCGAAGTATACCACAACAATGTCCCCGAGGCGCCGATTGAGGTACAAGAGGAGAAGATTTTCACCCACATCACCTCCAGAAAAGAAGACTCGTCGCATCTCAGTCACCCAAAAGTGCCGTCGCGGCCAGCGGTCTTACCCTCTGCGGCGTACGATTCACGCGCCTCAGGGTCTGCCTCCTCGTGCTCCTCTTGTTCTTCGCAGCAAGCGGCATAGCGGCCGGCGTGGCAGCTGGCATAGTCGTGGCCAGGACTTCACATCCTCGAGCGTCTACGCCTTCTGAGACTGCCAGCTCCTCGAGCATGCCCTCGAGCTCCTCGGACGCCGCCAGCTCAACGACTCCCACGCCAACCACCCAGGAGCCTCCAACACTCACCACTTCCACCGAGGTTGTTGGCCCAACGCAGACGCTCTACCGCGACTGTCCATCGTCCAACAACACCATCTACAATGGAGCTGGCTCCAGTCTTTACCAGTTTCGCAAGATCTGCGCGCGGAGCTTCAAGCAGCCCCCAGTAAACGTCATCAACCAGGCCGTGGGGAGCCTCAACGACTGCATCGATTTGTGTGCCGCGTATAATATCAGCAACAAGACAGAGATCGCCGCCGGAAAGAGCAGTCCGTGCAACTCGGTTTGCTGGCGAAACAACGCCAAGGACCCGGATTGGCCAGGGCAATGCTTTGGGAGCACGACATTTAATTCAACAGCAGGGTTCCAGATTAGAGAGGAGATTATATGCGATTCCGGGGCATGGATTAACCAAAATATATGAAAATTATAGAGATGAAAGTTAGAGGCGTGTCCTTGTAATGAAGAAGCTAGTCACGTATATTAATCAAATTCCTACCCAAAATTATGCCTAATATCCTACTAAGGTAACGGAACTTGCCATAATACTTACAAATAACCAACAAAGTAACACAGGTCTGTGAAGAATCACATCACTGCACGCCACCTGCAATCTTCACGACATCAAATGACAAAAAAACATATTACGTAGGGGGAACTAGAAAAGAGAATTTTCACACCTTTTTTTATTTTCTTACACCTTTTTTTTCCACATCATATGAACGACGCTCTCCAGATCATACTGTAAGGCAAGGTGCATTGCCGCCTTGTATTTCAGGCCAGAACCACTTAACCAGCGCGAACGCGGTTCAAACCAGGAAACGCGCCGCACCCTCCAAGCTTCACCAGGGCACCCGATTGCATCTCCTGTGCCTCAACCACACGCTCTTTTCTCCGAACGCTTGAGTCTCAAATTTGGGCGCACCTTCAGCCTTTTGAATTGATCATGGCTGCACTTCCAGATCTCGAGGAGTGTAAGTTCACAGGTCTGCAACCCGATAGGTGCCAATTCTAACAACTGTTGACCAGGGCTCGCCGACTCGAATACGGCCTTGAACGTCAGTCTCGTTTCGCCAACCCCCTCGGGCCTCCAGCTCATCTCGACCTTTCATCCGAGCTTCACCTACCCCATATTTGGCGAGGATGAAAAAATCTTTGGCTACAAGGATCTCAAGATCAACTTGCGCTACCGCGCAAACGACATGCGCCCGCATGTACAAACGTCGTACAGCCGCAAATTCACGCCTATTGGCGAGACCGAGCCCATGGATGTCGTAGGAATGCTGAAAGAGGATGCGCAGCTTCCCGATGGTAGGACCTTGTCCGCAAGAATGCTCTTGCGACGAATGCTAACAACTGCTCCTAGTCGCATTTCGCACGGAGTCAGATTTCGAGATAAACTCGCAAACGCTCGGCGATGACTGGAAACCACCCGGAGAGCTTCATGCGAGCTTTGATGGCGCCGACGGTGCATACGAAATCTGGAAGGGATCCCTGGCGGACGATGCCATCAAACAGCTGAACAAGCGCATTCAGCTACTGATCCTCCTCTTCATCGAGGGCGGATCTTACATTGGGCAGGCCCCTGAAACCAACTCTTCACAGGTTGAAATGCCTGATGCAGATCGCTGGACTCTGTTCTTTCTCTATCGCAAGCAACCATCGTCCGCTGATCCAGAGAAAAGCTCTTACATCTTTGTTGGCTACTCGACTGTCTACCGATTCTACTACCTTCAAGCTCTGCCTACACCTCCTGCTTCTCCGAACCACGATTGGGAGTTGCCTCGCGGCGATTTTGATATGGCGCTACTCCCTTGCCGCACGCGACTTTCTCAATTTCTAATTCTGCCTCCTTTCCAAGGTAGCGGGAACGGCGCGCGACTATACCGGTCCATCTATAACCACTATCTCAAAGAGCCCTCGACGCAAGAGTTCACAATTGAGAATCCAAATGAGGCTTTTGACGAGCTCCGAGATGCGTGCGACTTGAAATATCTGCGCACCGTGCCTGAGTTTGCTGCTCTGAAACTAAATCCAAACGTCAAAGTCGGCAAGAAAGGACTGATCCCGCAGTTGATCCAGGGTGGCGAAAATCTCGAGGCTATCCGGGCCAAGGTCAAGATTGCGCCCCGCCAGTTTGCCCGCGTCCTAGAGATGCACGTCATGTCTCAGCTTCCCGACTCTGTTCGCCCCCGCATCGACCCGGATGAGAAGGTTCCTTCAAAAACTGCTACTGACAGGCATCTGGAGCGACTATGGCAGCTCCTCGTTAAGCAGCGACTGTACAGGCACAACCGGGACATTTTGGCGCAGATTGATCTGCCTGAGCGTATTGAGAAGCTGGGTGAGACGTTGCTAGGTGTCGAGCTCGAGTATGCTAGGCTTCTGTCAGCACACGGTTCAAGCCCGGTCACCACAACCAAGGCTAAGCGTCGGTTGGACGACGATGCGGAATCCACCTCTAGCAAGCGAACAAGAGTAGATGAGTAGATGGCTTTCTTTCCTCCCAGTGGAGATGTTGGGTACATTTGTAATCATATTCACGGCGTTTGGGAACGAGAATTCAATGTGTACTATGCTGTAGGACTCGGCAGGATAATGTAAAAGAAATTATATGTTGCTTTTCCTAGTTTTGTACCCTTTTCTGTGAATTCTATATCATTTTGCTTCTCAGTTACTGCAGGTACGGACGAGTACCGTTGACGTTTTGCACGCCCTTGCCAAGCTGGCTGGCAACAACAGTAGCCTCTCTGATGGCGCGGGCGATGGTACCCCGAGCGCCGCCGTCTTCGAGGACGAGCAGACCGCCGATGGTGCAACCGCCGGGTGTGCAGACGTTCTCGCGAAGCACGGCAGGGTGCTCACCGCTCTGGACCAGGCCGGTGGCGCCCCTCATCGTCTGGGCAGCCATGCGGCGGGCCTCGGCGCGCGGAATGCCCATGGCAACAGCGCCGTCGGTGGCGGCCTCGAGCATGAGGAGGAACATGGCGGGGCCGGAACCAGCCAGCGCCGTCGAGGCGTCCATGTTGCTGGCGGGCAGGAAGACGACGTCGCCAATCTGCTTGAAGATCCAGGTGATGAGCGCATTGTCCTCGTCGGCGAGCGGCGGCGTCGAGATGCCAATGACGGTCATGGACTCGCGGATCAGCGCGGCCGTGTTGCACATGGCGCGGATGCAGCGGCAGCGCGTCGCGTCCTTGGCAACCTCCTCCTGCCCCGCATGGTCGTAAATGGCCGCCTCCATGGCTTCGGCGGTGATGCCCGCGCACACGGAGACGAGCAGCTTGCCGGCGAGCGCGGCGGCCATGCCCGGCGCCCCCAGCACGTCCCGCACCATGTACGGCTTGCAGGCCAGCAGGACGACGCGGGCCTTCTTCACGGCGGCGACGTTGTCGTTGCGCACGACCTCGACGCGCGCCGCGTGGGCGCTGAGCGCGGTTGTGACGCGCGCCGCGCTCTGCGAGCTGCGCACGCAGGCGATGAACTTGGAGGGCAGCGAGGCGGGGACGTCGGCGGCGGGCGCAACGCCCGCCGCCAGCGAGGTGAGAACGCCGTTGGCAATGGCAATGCCCATGGTGCCTAGAGACGAGAATTAGCCCATGCGGGGGGTTCAAGAGCATGTGGAGGGGGTCGGGAACGCACCGCAGCCCAGGACGGTGAGGGTGAAGCCGGAATCGGAAGCCATCTTCGGTAGAGGGTAGCTGGATGCCGCGCGAGGGGTGGGAGGGGTAATTTGTTCGGCGGGGTGAAGCTGCGAGGTCTGGGATGAGAAAAACTGGTCAGGACACGAGTATGGAAGCCCTGGACTTTGAATGTTGGATATGTTGGATAGCACATTGTATGATAGAATTGTGATGATTGCCCCGCTGCCGATCGTCAGGTGATCGATCGCTAATGGCTTGACCTGTATTTCTGACACTGCCTCAAAGTCTCGTCCTTGCTTCCAGAATTCGCAATGTAGAACTTGAACATGCAATAAAGGAATTGACACAAACAGACACGTAGATGGAGTTTTAATGTATTTTCACTTTTGGAATTATGCTTTTCCACCACCGCAACGAACCAACAAGGTGGTGGGCGTGTTGTTAGGAATCATAGGGCCGTTTACAATATCTCATATTTTTTGTAATACGTTATGACGTTACTATTAAATACGACTCGTTATCAAAATTCCTACTAGTCAACTCCTCTAATTTATAAGAGTGTTGTGTCGCAGGTTACGCCGAACTGTGTGTGCGGACCTGTGCCGGGAATGTGGGCCGAACTCGGCTCCGGACCAAGTAAATGAACTGAGACATTCGATGGTTGTCCCGGGTCAGATTAAATAAATACATGCAGAGTCCACCATACGAATGTCAAGTTATGAAAAGCTTTTCTGTCATGAAATTGTCGTTCTGTTCGTGGTATAAAATACAAGGCAATATTTAGAGCCAGCCGTTCTCCGTCACCGTGGCCTTCTTCACACCAAAGCGCTGCGAGAGCGTCACCCAGCCACCAGTGTAGGCCAGGATGCGGAACGCCGTCGACTGGGCATTCTCGCCAAAGGCGTTTCCGAGCGCCTGCTCGACCACGTCGTAGTCGACGAAGCCCAGGTTCTCCACGGCCTCGCGGGTCAGCAGCTTCTTGAACATGTTGTGGAGGGGTCCGTCGGCGGGCCACCTCGCCGGGGCGAGGAACGGGAGCTTCCTCCGGTTGTAGAGCTCGTCGGTGATGTACGGGCGGGCGGCCTCGCGGAGAATCCACTTTTCGGAGATTTGGCGCAGGGCCTTGCCGGCCGACTTCCACCAAAAGTTGTCGACCTTGTCCTCGCCGGCGGCGTCGGTGGGCGGCATGTAGTTGAGCTTGGTGCTGGGCGGCAGCGAGTTGACGTACTCGGCGAGGTGGTGGTCGAGGAACGGGGTGCGGGCCTCGATGCTGTGCGCCATCTCGGTGCGGTCGCCGAGGCAGGACAGGATGACGTTGATGAGGGTGCTCTTGTTCCACATGTACATGGCCGTGTGCGCGGGATGCCAGCGGTCGCGCATCTTGGCGCGCACCTCGTCCGAGTGCCCGGCCATGACCGTGTCCCGCATGTCCCACCGGCCTTGGTACTGGTCCTGCACCCAGCCCTGGAAGAGGCTGTTGGCCGGGTGCCACGCGAGCAGCGACTCGGGCATCGTGTTGCCGACGGCGTCGGCCAGCAGCGGCGAGTCGGACGCGCCCTCGTACTCGGCCGCGCCCTGCGACCGCCACACCGCGTTCATCTCGGCGCTCGCCGACTGTTGCAGCTCCTCGCGCAGCGCTGAGTTCTGCGACAGGATCGAGTCGGGCATGCCGCCGTCGCGCGCGCGCAGGAACTCGGCGGGGAAGTACGGGTACCCGGAAAAGTGCTCGTCGGAGCCCTCTCCGGTCAGCACGACCTTGATGCCGTGCTCGCGCGGGAGCGTGGAGAGCGCAAACTTGGCTACCGTGTTGAGGTCAAAGTGGTGGTGCTCGCAGTGGTAGGCCGCGTCGGAGAAGTCGTCGGCCATGCGCTGCTCGTCGACATCAATCTTGTGGATTTTGACGCCCAGAAACTCTGCGGTTCGGTCGGCAATGTCTAGTTGTTTGTTTAGAATTTAGACGTTTTTATAGATCACTCAGAAAAGAAACAACACAAGGAGAAACTTACCAGACTCATCGTAGCCTGACTCGCGAGGGAAGCGTACGCTGAAGCAGGCGACGCGGGTGGCCTGCTCACTGCCAATCTTGACATGTTGCTTTCGTGCCAGATCGGTGACGATGCCGGCTACCGCGGAGGAATCAATGCCGCCAGAAAGATAGATACCAACAGGCACGTCGGCGCGCAGACGGAGACGAATGGACTCGACGAGTCGCTCGCGCACTCCGGCAACCATTTCCTCGATGCTGCGAGGATCCGGCTTGGTCTGCAATGTATTAGCGTCGTCGACTCTTACAACAATAGTGAATTCATCTGCAAACGAGGCGTGCTCACCTTGTCCGGATACTCGGCATCCCAGTACTTGTGAATCTCGACGCCCTTTTCCTCCGTCACCTCCATCCAGTGGCCGGGCATGAGCTTCCGCACGCCTTTGAAGACGGTGCGGTCGTCCATCATCCAGCCGCTGTCCGTGATGCCGCGCACGTTCCACTCGGGCTTCCACCCGAGCGGCAAAAAGGCCTTGGCCTCTGCGGAGAAGACGACCCTGTTGCCGAGGACGGTCCACACGAGGGGCTTGATGCCGAAGCGGTCGCGGCCGGCAATGACCTTTTTGGCGAGCTCGTCGTACAGCACAAAGGCGTACTCGCCGCGCAGGTGCTCGAGGAAGGCGGGGGCGCCGTGGATCTTGTAGAGCGCGATGACGAGCTCGCTGTCGCTGCTGCCGGTGAAGCGGTAGCCGTGCTCGTCGATGCAGACCTGGCGGAGGCGGTCAAAGTCGTAGATCTCGCCGTTGACGACGGCGTGGATGTGGCCGTCGTCCGAGTGCAGCGGCTGCGCGCCGCTGGGGGACAGGTCGTTGATGGACAGCCGGCAGTGGCCGAGGCCGACGCGGGCGTCGGGGCTGATCCAGACGCCGGAGCCGTCCGGGCCGCGGTGCTTGATGGCGTCGACGCCGGCTTGGATCTGCTTGGCGAGCGCCTCGCGCGCCGCGGTGCCGGCGGCCTCTTTGGCGCCGTTGATGGCCTTGAGGGTCTGGAGGGCGTCGCCGTTGGTGGTGGGCTTGACTACATCGGTCCATTCGTCACCGAGCGTGTCGTCGGTGAGCTGGCCGGTCTGGCCGGTCTGGCCGTTGAGATAGCCTTTGATGTGTCCACGGAAGTAACCGTCAAAGAAGCCATCAAAGTGGCCGTTGAGTTTGTGGCCGTTGGAAATGGGAATGTGGTTGTTTGTTCCATTTGTGCCAGTGGTGCCATTTATGCCATTCGAGTGTCCATTGACACCGTTCGCGTGGGCATTGGCTCCATTCGCAACTCCACTTACGCCATTTTCGAAGCCATTTGCCTTCTTCTTTGCTTCTAGGTGACGTTGCGTCTTGCCAATGACGTGGCCGTGAATGTCACTGTTATCCTCGGCCACGCTGCAGACGCAGCTCGCAACAAAGCCACACATGGGGAGAGAGTGATGTTGCTATGGCGAGACGGAGTAGGTGATTATAAGTGTCGCGTGGAATAATTTCAGCGTGTGGAGTAAGTAGTAGTATATCTTTGGCGAAGATGACTGGTAATGGGTATTAAATACTGTTGAGGTTGAGTGTGGGCGCAGTTTCACAATTTCACAACTTGGCATGAGTCTGTTCCTCAAATGAATGTGGAAATTGCCGTACCCTTTTTCATCCCATCTAGGAAGTCAGTTTCGCTGTTTCAGAAGGGTTGCAAAGCGCAGCTGGGTTACCAGGATATTGTTGTTGTTGCAACGTTTCCAGCCATGTTCATTGCCGGCGGCCAGCATCCGGCATTCCAAATGCAAAATGGAACATGTCGAGTTGGACTCCGGCCAATGACTGAAAACGGTAGTTGAATAGTTGAATCCTCTTTTCCTCTTCCAAGCAGAAATAATGCGGGACGATTCCGAGGCTGAGCAGCCAAGCCAAGGTCCAAGCACCCGGAGGCGGACAGTTGAGTTTCGGGCCGTGCCACAAGGAGAAAAGCTTGGCAAAGAATCATTTCATGAACAGGAGGGGGAACAAGAAACAGAAACAGAAACAGAAACAGCAAAGTGCAGTCTGAATTGTCGATTGAGAAAGAATCCGTCCAAAGACGGTTGATGCGCAATAAAGTGTAAATGAAAATGCCGGCGACAAGTATAAGCCCATCTAGGCTGCACTACCCTCCACACCTTCATCCCATATAACCAAATCCTTGCAAAGACTGCCGTCTGTCTCTTGAAAATGCAGCAGCTTTTTTATCTTGGCGGAAGCGGTGCTCGTCATCTCGGCAGTCGCGACGTCGATACATCTTCGTTCCAGTCCATAGATCAGCTCAAGTCCAGTCTGGGGCAGACTTTCAACTTTGCCAACCATGCGTGTAAATTTTCCCCTTTTCTGCTGTTTTTTTTTTGTCTCTGAAATCTAATCAGCGTTGTTGTAGCTCTCGAGTTCTTTAGCAAAACCGGCGGGAAGCTAGATACTCTGCAGGACGTCAGGAAACATGGCGAGGCCGTTGAGCTGCGTCTCGACCAGAGCGGCTCCGTCCGCGAGCCTCCCGGCCCTAGAGGCCTGCCCGTCTTTGGCAACTATTACGAGCTGTACCCGGATCCCGTGGGCAACTTTGATCGCCTCTTTGCTCGCTACGGCCCCGTCATCAAGACCGTCAGCATGGGCACTACCATCTACCAGACCAACGATCCGGACATCTCGCGGTTCGTGCTGCGCGAAGGACACATCTTCACCAAGAACACGTCGGATCCTTCGCATCCGCTGTTCTACATGACGCAGCAGGACGCGCTCTTTACGTGCGACTCGGACTCGCCCGTCTTCGCAAAGGCGCACAAGTTTGTCCCGCCGGCGCTCTCTCCCCGCGCCGTGGCGCACCACACGCCGCTGATCCAGGATGCGGCCCGATCCATCTTCCCCGTGCTGGACCATGTGGCCGACAGCGACCAGGCCTTCCACGTCTACCACTACATGTTCAAGCTGGCGGGCCAGGTCATCTGGCGCGTCGTGGTGAACCAAGACCTGCGCCATTTCGACGCGCTCGACACGAAGCCGGCCAGGACGATCCAGGTGCTGGGCGAGTGGCTTCATCTGATGAAGAAGCTGAGCCTGCGCCCCCAGTGGTACGGGAAGCTGCCCTTTGGAGAGCCCGCGCACCTGCGCGCCGCCAAGAACGAGCTCTGGGCCAGCGTGGAAAAGGCCGTGGACGAGTGCACCACGCAGGGAAGCGCGACGCTGCCGCTGAGCGACCCGGCCGCGTCTCTCCAGGCGTCGTGCATGGCCGACTTCCTCGCGCGCGCGCGCGACGACAAGGGGGAGGGGCTGGCGCGGAACTTGCTCATCTCCAACGTTGTCATCCTGCTCGGCGCCGGCTTCACCACCAGCGCGTCGCTGCTCTCGTGGTGCATCTACTCTCTGGTCCAGTACCCGGGCAACCAGGAACGGCTTCTGCAGGAGCTGGTGGACAACGGGGCTGACGGGGAGCGCAAGTGGACATTTGACCAGGTCCACGCGCTCAAGTTCCTCGACTCGTTTGTCAAGGAAGTCCAGCGCATGCACAACCCCAGCTTCCAGACGGCGCGCAACGCCAGAGAGGACACGGTGCTGCCCGGAGGCTACTTTGTGCCCAAGGGCTCCATCGTGATCCCCTGCTTCCCCAGCCTGCACAAGAATCCGCGGTACTGGGACAACCCCCTCCGGTTCGAGCCGGACCGGTGGGCCGTGGACGGGATTGCGGCCAAGATGAACAGACAAGGGCTGTACACGCCGTTTGCGGCAGGGAAGCGCGGGTGCGTGGGCATGAATCTGGCCTTGATGGAGGTCAAGACGGTGCTCGTTGAGCTGGTGTATCGTTATCACTTTGAGAATGCGACCGAGGAGCCGGTCGTGTACGATCCAGAGTTTTTGGTGACGCGTCCGATTAACTTTTACGCGACTCCGATGCGTCGAACAGTTTGGCCGTCACCAACAAAGACGGAATAGAACGTGCAAAGGTGACTAGTAAAGGACTGAATTATTCTTAAAAAAAAAGGAAAAAAAAATATTGTAAAGTTGTATTAACCCATATCTTCCATTCCCGCGGTCACACTTTATTTGCTGTTCCGAAAACTGTCGATAGCCAGCTTACAATGGTATCATCATTTTCTAACCTCCATTTTCTGTAGATTTCCCAGAGAATATGTTGTATTGACTTTTCAGTAGAATTGAGCTGAGGATGGGATGCCTGTCGTATCCAAAACTACGCCTCACACCGAGCATTGTGGCCAGCAGGTAGCAGATTCACAGTGCCTAATTCTACCTTGACCATTAGAAGCTTGCCTTTTTTCTTCTTTATTTTTCCTGGCTTTTTTCTTTTTCTTTTTGGTTTAGACTCTCCTTTGCCTGGCGTGCGGGACAGCTGAGGCTAGGGTAGCTCGTCACGGAACGGACCGTTCCAAATTTGGACAAGAAAATCCAATAGTACATACACTAAACCATTTTTAAAAAGAAAATGCATATTTAATTTTGTGCCTGTCAGCATGGGATGGGCATGTCCACATCGACTCTAGGTGACTGCCGGTATCTCCTTACGCGGAATCTCCAAGCATCGAGCCTGGGGCCTTGTCAGCTCAGTTCACGATGCATTCCCAATCCGTTATTTCCCATTTAGCGCATTAGAGATGTGTCACGTAGATACATTTTAGTTCCTGTCGTAGTAATTGCACGATTATTATTGGGCATTTTTGGTCTCTGTCTCTGCCAGTACTAGAGTTCTCCTTGTCGCTTGTCATTCCATTTATCCGCTTGCTTACTGATTCCAGTTCATTACCACCACTGTTAAACCTCTTACTGCTACAGAGTAGGCGGAAAAATCAATAACGAAAACGGCGACAATGACAACACAAACGATTGAAGAACCAAGAATTATCACGGCCGCTGAACTGGCCAAGTATGAGGGAGCAGACACCCTCTGGCTAGCCGTCCACGGCAAGGGTAATTATACTCACGACACCTGACCTTCTGAAATTACATCTAATGCGTATAGTGTATAACTTGACTGCCTACGCAGCGGATCATCCCGGAGGCGTAGATGTCTTGAAAGACAGTGCCGGCACAGATGCGACCGAGTCGTTTGACTACGCAGGCCATCCCAAAAGCGCGGTCCAAAGCATGGCCAAGTTTTGCATTGGCAGGCTCGAGGGTAGCCATGAACTCGTCGCAGAAGAACCGAAAGAGACGCCTGCACTCAAAACAACGGCAGCGCCTGCTGGAAAGTCTTCATCAGATAGCAAGACTCGTCTATTGATGCCTCTTCTCTTGGTTGGTGCTGGCGCCAGTCTGCCGTTTCTCCCGAAACTTGCCAAAGAGGTTTCGAACAAGCTGCCATCGATAAACCACCTTACTCTTCCGTCTTTGGATCTGGGCAGCTCCGGATCAAGTACGTTTCTTTTGGGTCTCGCTGTCGGCCTCGGCCCGTTGCTTGCTGGTGTCTGGGCACTCTATGCTTTGCTCTGCAAATCTATGGACCACGAGAAAAATGTGTTTTCGTATCCTAGCGTGATTCCAAACCCAAGGAGAGTGAGGGTTAGAGTTGAATAAGGCGAGTTATGTACTTTAGATTCGTCTCGCAAAATAAAACGCGGTTGTCTCATAATTCGATCGTTGGTGAGCACAGCGCAGGAATGTTACTTGTGAATACATGATCATTACAAGGTCGGCATATGATTGATTGATCGGGAATTCTTATCGTAGCTCCATAAGAAGTCACGATATTTAAAGTGATAATTTTAACTCTTGAAGACTAGTACTTTACATCATCCTCCACCATCAACGCACTTCAAAGTCAAGAAATAATTTAACAAAAATTGAAATCATTTGAGCGGTCACTATAAAGACAATAACTGAGAGAATAACAATAAAGAAATAGTTTGAATCACTTTTCCTCCGCTCTAGGCCTTCGGAGCTTCTACCTGCACCAAGGCACTCCTCGACGCAATTTTCACTGCAACCTCTGCCAACGGTGTCGCACTCAATAGTTCAAACACGGAAATATCACTCTGCATCTCCTTGGAAACCTTATTACGCAGCTCAACTGCCTTGAGAGAGTCAACTGTTGCAAGTTAGCTAAAGCAAGTCCAGACTTTGTCATGATCAACTGTATCTTACCTCCAAGCTCAGGCAGAGGACGCTGAACATCAACCTCTTCGACCTCAATGCCAAAAGCAGCGGCGACTTGCAACTTGAGAGCGTGCTCGACCGCTTCAGCAGCCTCGGTAAGAGAAGTCGCCGCTCTCAGCTTTTCTTCCACATTTTCCACGCGCTCAGCGCCGCTACCGTCGCCATTCCCGTCATCTTTGATCAGTCTCAAATTGAACTTGCCATCTCGCTGGAAACCCGTGCCACCCAAGGCACGTGAGAAAGTATCCCCGAGACCCAAGATGACTTGCGGCGGCAAAATGCTGCCATCTGATGTGGTGGATCTCATAATGGACTGGAGTGCAGTGCAGAGCTCGTCCAGAGTGCACCTCAAGCCAACCCAGCGATGTTGATATCGGTTGAGATAATTCTTGAGCTCACCAAAGCCGCCCGCGGCTGTGAAATGAGACGAGTCAGCGACGAGACCAACGTCAATGCTAGTGGCTCGGATGCCGAGATGTTCTCTGGCGTGCTGGGCAAGAGCATCCTCAAAGGTATTCCCGGAGGCATAATTTGCCTGCGCTGTATTTCCGATGACACCAGTAATAGAGGACAAGAGGATGAAGAAAGGATCGTCGTTCGGGCGGAGCTGAGCCAGCAGATTTCGAGATCCGCGAGATTTTGGTGTAAAGGCTCGGGTCCATTTCTCATGCGTCATGTTTTCAAAGATGGCATCCTCAAGAACCATGGCACACTGAATAAGACCCTTGACAACGTATCCATTTTCCTGCAACTTGCCGAATACACTGGCCACATTGGCGGCATCATTCACATCGCATCTGTACGCATCAGCCTTGACACCTTTGGCGCGGAACTTTTCCAGATCCGGTTCATTCTTGCTGCCAGCAGATCGAGACAGAAAGACGAGGTGTTTGGCGCCGTGATCAGCCATCATGTGGGCAATGTTGAGACCCAAAGCACCGAGGCCTCCAGCGAGGACGTATGTGCCCAACGGGTCGAGGCTGAATGGTTCCGAGGCTGGTGGAAGCATGAGTACAGCGTCGTTATCTGAAATAGACAAGACGGTAGAGCCGTGTTGATTGGAATACAGCTCGTCGATTTCCTGCTTGGTGCTGCCAACCGAGGACATGGCAACTGGCAAGATGGGGGCGATGGAAGCCGAAAACGTTTCCTGGAAGAGGCCCTGGACAATGGCGGGATTGTCAGACCAGACACGTCCCATGTTCACGCGGATGAGGGATGCACAGCTTTTGGATCGAGGCAAGCTGAGAGTAGGTGAAGTAGCAGCTTCCTGTCCCGCAGTCAAGTCGATGAAGCAACCAGAGTCAGCGAGCAGCTCGAGCGAGAGCGCCACAGCTGGGCCATTTTGGCTGGCGAGAATCACATTGACGCCCTTGCTGGCCTCTTGCTCAATGGCAGCGGCGAAGTATTTCTGACTCGAGTCAAAGATGGAGCTGGCCTGCAATGAGTATTGTTCCATCAGGCTCCTCTTCTCGTCCACGCTGCCAACGAGCGCGTAAACGGTCGCCTGGGCGGACTGGGCGACTTGGATGGCGGCCTGGCCAAACGCCGAAGCAGCATCGTGAATGAGAACGACATGGCCCTTCTGAACTTGGGCGATTCTGGAGAGAGCATAGTGTGCTGCCATGAAAGCACTGACTGCGCCTGCGGCTTCCTCAGGCTTGAGGCTGGTAGGGAGAGCGGCGACGAGCGAAGAATGTTGGCGAAGGCGGGATCGGCATGCTCCAGATTGATTGTGCATGATGACGTATTGCCCGACTGTGAAAGAGTTGACGCTGGTTCCGACGCGGGAGACAGCACCGACAGCATCAAAAGCTTGGCTGGCGAGAACTTTGTCTTGCAGGGTGGCTGCTGAGAGAAGAAGACCATTCAGTCCAACAAATCGAACCTCGATCTCTACCTCATCAGCTTCAATTCCGTCCCGAGCCAAAAAGTCTTCATCATTGACCCAAAGATGGTCGCCGTTCTGGAGACTGGATGCAAGTCTCAGACTGGACGGAGCATCTCCCAGCAGCCGGCGCTGAGGCTTGACAACACCGCTTTCAAGCTGTAGATCCTCATCCAGACCAGCAGCGTCTACAGCTCTGGGGATGTACACCTCGCCCTTCAACTCGGCGAACTCGGTCTCGGATTCATCCTGCAGAGAGGCTTGCCAGATATCCACGACCAACTTGGCACCAGAGGCACTTTCCAGATCAAACGCTGCGGACAGATCCAGATGCGGGAACGACGCAAGAGGATACTCATTTCTCAAGACGCGCAGGAGACCTTGCGCCGGGGCGAATTCCACACCAGCTTTCCAGGATTCCAGCAGGCTACCCTTTGTGACCCAGAAGAGGTGGCTGGCAGTGGACACGACCTTGTAAAAGGATTGGAACTCGGCCTCTGTCCAGGCGTAGATGGTGGCAGCGTCCACTTCCAACAGCGAGATGACGAATTGACCAGTGAGATCAGTGGTCATGACAGTCTCCAATGTGAGGAGCCGAATCTCAATGCCGAGATCGGCCAAGCTTCCCTCAATGGAGCAGGAAAGGTCAGAGAGAGACGCGCTTGGAGTTGGTGGAAGTAAAACATAGACTGTAGACGGTTTATCCTTCACCTCTGTCTTTGCCTTGCTAAGGACGATGGATGTGGAATTGATCGCCGAAGGTTGCAAGTCTGACAGATCCTCCTTGGCCAATGTGTTTTCATCGGAACAGAGGAGCAGATGACCATCATCGTTGACAAGACTTTGCAAGCTGCTCAGCTGCAGAGTGTTGGAGGCTCCCAGAACGACAATCAACGAGGAGGTGGACACTTCGGGTACTGACTTGCCATCCCAGAGTGTAAGTGAGATCTTGTCAGACACGAAACCTCTGGCATTTTCGAGTGAAGAAGGCGTGACTGCAAGACCGACCACTTGCCCATAACCGGGGCGGATTCCTTGGTGGTTGTCAATCTCAGCCAAGACATCTTGAAAGGACTCAAACCCGTCGTTCAAAACCAAGAGAACAGAGTCAAGAGCACGCTTGTGCTTGCGATGATCCAACCAAGTCTTGGCATCGGAAGCTCGGGCAAAGTCTGCATCCCTGTTCCATTTCAGGACGGCGCATTTCTTCTCCAAAGCCTCTCCGTCGGCAGGATTGCCGCCCGATGCATCGCTAAAGGTGACCTGGCGCAGAGCAAATCCCTTGACCTGGATCTTGGGCGCGGACCAGGCCTCATCAGAGACGACAAGATCGCCAATGACCTGGCGGCCGCCGTGAGACTTGCCTGTGAGGTTGCTGTATCCCTTGAAAGTGGTGCCGGCTCCCGTTGGCTGCTGCGCGGCGACAAACATGGAATCAAGATGGTACGGGACGGCGGCCTCCTCGGTGACGGCGCCGTCGTTGACGGTGGCCAGCAAGAGGTGGAAGATGGCGTCCATGGTTGCCGGATGGATGGTGTGAGGATACTCAAAGTTGGCGGGCATGACGGAGGCGGTGTCCGGGATGACGACGGAACCATGAACGGCGAGTTTTCCGGGAACGGAGGTCAGTGAGACCACGTTGCGGAACAACTCGCCGTATTCCATGCCTTTGCTCTCGAGATGCTCGTAGAAGTCGTCAATGTCCACATCGGTAGCCGTCCCATCTTGACGGATAGCATCGTAGTCTTGCGTCTGCCGTGTCCAAAGCAGGCTGTTCGCGCTCTTGTCGTCGTCAATGTCGCTGCGCTTATTGAACTCGTCGTCATACTCAATGGCAATGCTACCATGGCAGTGCTGCGTCCACGCGACGCCGTTTGTCGTAGAAGACACTGTAAAGGCGAATTGGCCCGCCGAAGCAGCATCCTTGATCGGCACAAGACTCAGTCTGGTGTGCACAGTTGCGTCGTCGTCATCAGTAACAACCAGGCCGCGCTCAAACGAGACGTCGCTAAAGGTGAAGCCGTGCACCTTGCGCGCCGTCGCCTGCGCCATCTGCGTCGCCGCCTCGAGGGCCATGATGAGCATGCCGGCGCCGGGATACAGCGTGGTGCCGGTGATCTTGTGCTGCTCCATCCACGGGTTCTCCGCGTTGCGCAGGTAGTTCTTCCAGCGCGGCGCGCTCCTGTCCTGCAGCTCTTCCGGGACGCCGAGGAGGTCGGTCCGGGCGGCCACGGGGAAGCGCGCAAACTTGTCGGCCAGCGACTCGTGCCAGAAGCCCCGCGCGTGGTTCCACGCGTACGTCGGCAGCTCCGTGAGCACCTTGGGGATGGAGAAGAGCGAGGACGGGCTGGGCGTCCGGTTGACGGCCGCGAGATCGACTTCGAACCCGGCCTTCCACAGCTCGCCCGCGGCAGACAGCGCCGTCTCGCCCGCGTTCTTGCCGCGCAGCACGGGCGCGACGTACGGAGCTTCCTTGGCCGACTGGTTGGAGGCGGCGGCAATGTTCTGCTGGACCGGGCCCTGGAGAGCAGAGTGAGGACCGACTTCCACGAGACCGCCCCAGCGGATTGGCTTGGCCTTGAGGCTCGCCGACTGCTGTTGCTGTTGAGGCTCGGTGTGGGAAAGGAGAGCGGCAAAGGCGGCGGCGAATTCGACAGGAGCGCACATGTTGGCAACCCAGTACTGAGCAGTCAGTTCTTGAGGATCAACAAGTTTGCCTGTGAGCGACGAGAACATGACGGTCTCATTGTCGCTGTCGCTGTGCTCGCGTTCAGTTAATGGCGTTATCTCGCCCATGCGTTCGTGATAGGTAGTCGAGACCTCTTGCATGTGCGCTGAGTGGTACGCCGTCTTGACCTTTAATTTCCGCGCAAACTTGTTGTCCTCGGAGATCATCTTCTCAAGAAGGTCTATAGCCTCCACGTCGCCAGAGAGCGTAACACTGCTGGGACTGTTCACGCAGGCCACCGAGGCAGAGGTGGTGGTGGGCAGCTTGTCGAGATAGGCTTGCGCCTCCTCCCTAGAGGTGCCGGCTGCCATCATAGCACCCTCCTTTGTAACAGCCGCCGAGCTGATACCTCGGACATAGGCAATCTTGATAGCGTCCGAGTGGGATATGTAACCCGCGGCGTACGCGGCAGCAATCTCACCGCTGGAATGGCCAATGGTGGCCCGAGCCTTGACATTCCAGTGGCGCAGGAGGTCGACCAGTGCGACCTGGAGCACACTGCACAGCGTCTGGCTGAACTCTGGCAGCAGGATCTGGGACTTTTCCTCTGCCGTCTTCTTGAGCTCCTCTACCGCATCCCATTGGCATCCATGAGCGGCCAGGTATTCCTGCGACGCCCGAACGCTGTTCTCGAAAACAGGGTGGCGGAGCAGTTGAATGCCCATGGTGGGCCACTGCGCGCCTTGTCCCGTGAAAACAAAGATGAGGTTCCGATCGCGACGGGATGCGCGGGATGGTTTGGGGACAGGCCGATCTAGCTTGGCGCAGAGCTCGTCGACCGACGACGCGGCAATGACCGAGCGATAGTCGTGGGCTGTGCGGCGGACGGCCAGCGTGTACGCCAAGTCGTCCAGCTCTTTACCGCTCATGGTCTTGAACTTGGCACTGCCGAGCGCCTTTCCATACTCCTTTGCCATCCTCTGCGTGCCGGCCTGGTCACGGGCGCTGAATGTGAAGAGGCGATACGAGGCTGCTCCAGAACCGAGGACGCTGCTGCTGCTGAGGGAGCTCATGGGCGTCGAGGGTCCCATGCTGATGCCCGACTCTGAGCTTCTGTCGTCATCGTGGACGGTTGTGTTGTGATTGCCGGTCAGGTTGCGCTCATTGAGATAGTGATATGCGTCGTCGAGAATAATCTGCGAAAAAGAAAAAAAGAAACGTCAGCGTGACTAGCGACTAGAGACATGATGGATGAATCATACATGGGCATTGGCTCCTCCAAATCCGAAGGAATTGACGCTTATACGCCGCCGGCCTGAGCTGGGCCACTTGATGGTCTCGGCGGGCACAGCCAGATGCCAATCAGAGAGGAGCAGCTTGGGGCTGACGTTCTGAACGTCATATGTAGGCACCAGCATGCCCTTTTCCAGGCACAGAATGGCCTTGAAGATGCTCGCCAGACCAGAGCAGCCTTCCGTGTGGCCGACATTGGGCTTCACACTGCCGATATATAGAGGGCCAAGACCAGCTGCTGCGCGGGCGCCTCCGATGGTTGTGGCGAGGGCTCTCAGCTCAATAGGGTCCTATCTCTTCATGTCAGTCTGGAGATGGACAGGTGGGGATTTTGGAAAGAATAGTCGCAAATCTGCTTACACCAACAGGAGTGCCAGTTCCATGGCACTCAAAATATTCTGTAGAGGAGAGCGACAGCCCTGCGCTCGCATACGTCCTCCTGATGAGGGTTGCTTGCGCCTCGGTACTAGGCTGTGTCAGACTCGGTGTCTTGCCGTCAGCATTGACCCCGGAGCCTCGGATCACGGCGCGGATCGTGTCACCATCCCGCAGCGCGTCCGAGAGACGCTTCACGACGATGCACCCGATGCCCTCGCCGCGGCCGTAGCCGTTGGCGCGGTCGTCGAAGCTGTGAGAGATGCCCTCCGGACTGAGCATGTGAATGGCGGAGAACTGCTCCATGCAGTTGGGGTGCAGCATCATGTTGACGCCGGCCACCAGGGCCTGCGATGTCTCGCCCAGCTTCAGCGCCTGGCACGCCAGATGAAGCGCGTACAGGCTCGACGAGCAGGCCGTATCGAGGGTCAGACTCGGCCCTCGCAGGCCAAAGAACCACGATACGCGGTTCGCCGTCATGGCTTTGCTGATGCCTGTAGCGGCACTGTATCCCATATCCTGCATGTCGTGTGTGGATAGGATTTCGTAGTCGTTGGTCATGCAGCCGACGTAGCAAGCTGTGTCGGAGTTGACCAGGTTCTCCATTTGAATACCAGCTACACAGATTTAGTGGATTATTAAGCTTTGGAAGATTGGTTCAATGAAAGACATGACCTTACCATTTTCGATGCTCTCGTAACTGACTTCGAGTAGCAGTCTCTTCATGGGATCCATCGCTGCCGCCTCCTTGGCTGTTGTGGAGAAGAAGGGCGCATCAAAGTGGCTGATATCTTCTTGCAAAAAGTAGCCATGCTTGACGGCCATCTAAAAAATAAATCATCTTCTCAGCAAACATTCGTCTGAAGTTTTGACCACGGTCTTGCTCTTACGGTGCCTTTTCTGTCAGGATCGGGATGATGCAAAAGGTCGGCATCCCAGCGGCTCGATGGGACTTTGCAGTGACCAGTCTTGACATTGCTAATCTGGTCCCATAACGTCGGGAGAGAGGAGACCTGTCCAGAGAATCGGCAGGCCGTGCCGATAATGGCAATCGGCTCCTGATCGTCGGGAATCATCATCCTGCTGGTCATTGTGGTGGCACCCAGGTGGGAATGCAGATGAGAAGGACGTAGGAAGTTGTATTTCAGGGCATGTATCTAGGCAGGAAACCTGATGAGAATAAAGTTTGCTTCAAGGTACATATAATCTAGTTGCAGAAGCCCATCTATATCATCAGCCTCGGCTGACGCAATAGCCACAACTACATACAACCTTATTCGGATGCAGCTCGGTCCACAAATGATGATGACAGCGGTTTCTGGCAGAATCCCAACTTGAAGCCTCGTTTTTTCACGCGCTGAATCTGAAATCTCGGTCAAACGTTTTGTCTAGGGCAACGACCAAAAGGCCCTCTCCGGGCCGGGCGGCGGAGCTCCCCTGCCCCGCTTGCCCGGCGTTCGGCCCGTTCCAAACAGGAACCGGAATTGGCCCAAAACAGGCAACTCCACTGGTTTGTACAGAAACAGAAAAGAAGGGGAACAGAACAGAGAGTGGAATCAATCGGGACGAGGTCGCATGTAGGACCTCTGATAGTCCATTGTGGGGAGGTTGGCAACTGTCAACATAGAAGCACACGATGATGGTGTCGTTCGATCCCCCATTCTCATACTGCCAAAATTCCTCTCTCTGACCATCTTCAATTGCATGGTTCTGAGGCTAGTGCTCGTTTCAATTTTTATCTCAATTTTTTTCCCCTCGGCAAAATGAGATTTATTGGCTTACACGGTGTTGGAAGCTCCGGGAGCATCTGCGAAAGCCAGTTTGTTCCCCTCATGAAAGCAGCAGATCCCAGCTACGAGTTCGTTTTTGTTGACGGTCCAATAGAATTTATCCGTGGGCCAGGTAAGGCACTTGAAACGATTGTAGACAATAAAGTGAACGCACAGTCTAACTCGACTAGGAATGGGTGCTCAGTTCAATGGCCCTTTTTTCTCCCATGCCGAGGGCTACTCGCCCAAGCAGATGAGAAACGCCCTGGACCATCTCGAGGCTGCTATTGACCAGCTCGGTCCGTTTGACGGCGTTGTTGGCTTCAGTCAGGGAGCAGCACTGGCCGTTGCCTATATGCACGACCAAGTGCATCGCACAGGCCAGAACCCGTTCAAAGTCGCCTTTCTATTTTCCACCGTCTGCGCCTTCTCCCCCAATCCAGACCAGTCCTTGGCAGAGATCCAAGGCCTTTGCAAACTCGGGCGTGAGCTCGGTGCCGCGACGGAAGCACAGCCAGATAAAGGCCTGAGTTCTTCCGAGCTTGCATTGTACGAAGCCCTCTCCAACGTCATCAAGCCGCTCCGTGACGGGCACGCACTTCTCCCGGATATCGATCTCGATTTGTACACCAAGGGCGACGGTGCGGAGGCGCCTCGGTTGCTGCTGCCCCAATTGATGGACAGGAAGCTTTCCATCCCGAGCATACATGTGCATGGCAAAAAGGACGCCCAGTTCATGCGCGACATGTCACTGATCGCCAGGGCCATGTTCGATCCCAAGATGATCAAGACACTCGAGCACAGCGGCACCCATCACCCTCCGCAAAAGGATTCCGAGGTAAGAGCTGCAGTGAGGGCTATGGAGTGGGCAATTGAGCAGCATCGAAAGCTAGAGCTGTCGCGATAAAATTAAAGCCTCATTTTGAGATTTATTATGTTCATGAATATACACATAAATTAAAAATCACACCATCATGGCAACTACCAAGAACCTAGCCATCTTGCACACAAACTGCCCGTCACACCGTGTTCATAACACAACGCATTATTAGAATGTAATAGGAGGCTCATCATTGTCATTAATATTTTCGTTAAATTTTTCTTTTTCGCATTTCAGATTGCTTTTCTCCTCCTGCATCACCATCCACTATCAGCAGATACACACTGTCTCAGTGCCTCCTTGGCCTTGCTGGTAGTGTCTAGTGCCTCTATGAGAAATGCAAAGTTACTCTTGCGATTAGTTTCCTTGATCTTCAGCTGTTCAAGAAACTTGCCAAAATCTGTCATTTGAACCACAATAATAGACCTCAGCACATGCAGCCTCTCCAAGCTACTGGAGATGTGGTAGCTGGAGAAGCTTACATTCTGTTCGCGCATCGACGAGGAGTCACTACCTGCAGGGTAAACCTCCTTCCCGGGCGGTGATTTTCTTGCATCATCCGCCCGAGTCGATCTGTGAAATATGCCAGAGGGCGACGAGGGCGATGGCGATGCGCCGTCGCGTTGGGTTTGCGCGTATGTTGAGTGCATGTCGACGTATAAGCGAACGATTCTCTCACAAATGGTACTCATATACCTCGCTATCGTCACCAACAAGATGGTATTATTATCGCTCGCCGAGCCACCACCGCCGCACCTCTCGCACTCGGCTATTCTCGAACACGCAGATAGCGCATCGCGAAAGTTGCTCAGAAGATTGTCGACAGAAGCGGTATCCAGGCTTTCGCACCACGATACCAAGTCCTCCAGTAGCCAAACAGACATATGCAAGCATGTCGAGCCGGTCCCGGTTCCGTGACAAGTTGTGCCTTTATGATTCGGGTTACTTTGGCTTGCTAATGGTGTCAACTGTCGTGAGCTGGTTGCTGATACTGGCTCGGGTGATTGAGCTGTCGACTGGTTGGAGCGGCGACGTAGTAAACCCTTGCCATCGCCTCTATGCCACCGGGGAAGGATATAACGGAGAGCTAATTGCATTAGCGACGATTCATTATTTTCTATTTATTGTTCCTTTATTATCACTTACATTCCCTCAACTTGGTACCCCTCACATCTTGGGGTTTGGTCGTGTTTGCCCCGGTGGGATTTTGTCCTTGGTCCTCCCTGCCCGAGGAGGTACGATGAAGAAATTCTCGCCAATGTGTATCCTCCAAGCCATCATCTGCAACACACGGTGTCTGGCTAACCCGTGCGGTGTGTCGACGACACGACGAGTTGCTGTCAAAGTCAATGGCCAAATCAACCGTAAACGGATCGTGTCCAGCCAGAGGTGACAGCGCTCCTCGTTTGGGGCAACTCTTGTCGCATTTCGACTGGGAGTTTGGCCTGAAATCTCCGTTTCCGCGGCCCTTGGAGCTCTCCATGGCCGATGCTGACGAGGGCTGGAAGAGCACGTGGAGAAGGAGGCTTATGGACTTGGGTCAATCTTGCTAGCAGCATAGATGTTGAAGGTGGGACAAATGACAAAAGAAGCGAAGAATAGTATATTAGCTCCATTTTTGACTTGGGTAGAAGAACCGGCCAAGTGAAATCGCAGAGGCACATAACAGAGCCTTACTTGCTGTCATAGCGCTTGTGTTGCAGCCTGATGCCTGACGGACATTGTGATTTCCTACATCAATCACTTCTAGCCGACCAATGGGATGCTGAACTCTTTCGCCAAGCGTTATGCATGTCTTGTTATTCTTCTTCTTTACTCATCTCCATTCAAACAAGCATAAATTCTAAACTGCTGGCATATTGGAGCCCCGTCGGCCGGATCTACCCTATCTCAGCCACAAATCGTAACCGCTGTCTATGCGAGTTGCCTTATTTGGAACGGTCCGTGACACTTTTACCCCGGGCCGGATCTCAAGGAGAAATTAAAAAACAAAAATGAGAAGAAAAAAAAAACGTTGTTTATTTTTCACGCAATTCAGCTCAAGCTCAGGTTGTGAAAACGGAACAAATGAAGGCTGCCTTGCTGCATGTCTGCATACTGCATTGATCAACTCGAGTTGTTCCTCTTAGTCGTCATCTCATCGACATCGCTTCTCTACCCTCTGCCTCACTCACATCCACAATGCTTCGTATTCTTCTCCCAGCCCTGGCGTTTGGCCTATCAGCGCTCGCTGCTCCTACAATTGGCTCCAACAACTCCATTGCCAATGTTACGCCTTTCCACATTGACCTCTCTGCAGGCGTGCCGCGCATGCTGCAGCTAATCCAGGCTAGCAAACTTCCCGACCAGCCTCAGTTTCCCGGCGTCGCCGGCACCAAGGGAATTGACCTGGACGTGCTCCGAAGTCTGCGCAGCCAGTGGTTGACCAGCTTTGACTGGAACAAGGAACAGGCGTACCTCAATAGCTTCAACAACTTTCGTACCAACATCGAGGGTCTTGACATTCACTTTGTCCATCACAAGTCCAGCGACCCCAATGCTATCCCCATCCTTCTCACTCATGGCTGGCCCGGCTCCTTTATGGAGTTTCTGCCCGTCATCGAGCCTCTTACCCAGACTGCTACCACCAGCAAGGGCAAGCCTGTCTCGTTCCACGTCGTGGTCCCTTCCCTTCCTGGCTTTGCCTTTTCCCAGAAAGCGCCTGGCAACTGGACGCTTGACGACACAGCGCGTGTCTTCAACAGACTCATGACCGAGGTCCTGGGCTACAAGACTTTCGCCGCACACGGAACCTCCAATGGCGCCATTCTGACTTATACCTTGTACGACGAGTATAACACCACAACTAGAGCGGCGCACTTCCCTCTCATGCCTTTCTACCCCACGACCCCCGAGGAGCTCCAGGAGAGGCAGATCAAGCTGTCGCCACTAGAGCAGGCCATTTTTCAGCGATCTCTGGAGTGGACGCAAAATGGCACCGGATATTTTCTTGAGCACATCTACCAGGTGAGTTTCTCTCATTTTCTACTCTTATTTGTTCCCACATTCAGTAGAACCCGTGTGAGCGCCGACTTAGACTAACACGCCATACAGCCCAACACCATCGGTCTTGGCCTTTACGATTCCCCCATCGGCCAGTTGTGCTGGATTGGCGAGAAATGGATAGGATGTACGTGTTTTTTTCATCCCCCCTAATATTTTCTATGACCGTCATCATGTATTAATATACCTGCAGGGGCGGATGAACATGCAGGCGTGGCCCCGTCTACACTCACCCACAACGAGATTCTGCGCAGCGTCTCTCTCACATTCCTCACCGGCACGTTTCTTTCTCAAATCTATACATATGCTCAAGATACAGACCTTCCCTACGTCAAGGGTCTCCTCAACCGAGCGCACACCGACGCGCCCATGTTTGTCACGTTTTTCCGCTACTCGATTGGGTTCTGGCCCAAGGAGGTGCTTCGCATCATGGGCAACTTGGTGCAGTACAGGCGTGAGTAACTGAAGAGAAATTACTATAATTTCTTCATCATTGATTTCAATTGCTAATATGTTTCACTTTAGTGCACGAAACTGGTGGCTTCTTTGCTGGCTTGGAAAACGCGCCAGCATTTGTTGGGGATTTGCGCGACATTCGAGACTACTGGAAATAGACGTACATGCTGTAAATAGCAAGCAACTGCGAAACTAAAATTTGGATTTTATTTAGAAGAAATAATAATCTCCTGGGAGAAGACCTACTCTTTCAACCAAAGTTATAAAAAAAACATGGTACTTGTGCAGGGATGACTTTACTATTTGTCCGACATAGCATGGAAGGGCGTGACATGCAAAATGTCGCTCGAAATTGAGAACTAGCCTTTCGATTGACTAGCAAGTGATAAAATGAATCCGCATTTTCTTGCCTATACTCCGACATGGACATCGCGTTTGTTGAGTTTTATAGAGATACTCGGACATGGAGACGGCATTCTTTGCGTTCTATCGAGTTTTAAATAACAAGTATCTAAGTCTCTGGATGTTCGCATTTTCCATTTCCCCATTTCCAAGCCGTAGTTTAAGCCTTAGTGGGCTTGACACCTTCGGCTCCCTCGGGGTCATACGCTTCAACATCAATCTCAAAGTGCATCTTGTTGGAACCGAGCTCCTTCACTCCAAGCTCGGTCCACACAGGGCGGTGATCAGGCATCCACTTGGTGAGATTGTAGACGATGCGCTCGTGCTGCGAGGGAATGTCGGTGCTGTACGTGACGACGCGGAAGACCTGGGACCATCCCTTGCCGCCGGCGTGCTTGAGGTTGTAGTCGCAGTTCTCAAAGGCCTGGTCAATCTCTTCAAAAAGACTGCCCTTGACCAGAGTATCCAGAGTGAACTCTTCCTGTCGACAGTCCCAGCCGCCTATTTCCCGTTAGCTTCCGTTAGCGTCCGTTTTGTGCCAATTTTTTATGATGCATAATTTTAAAGTTTTGGCAAAAAAAAAGAAAGACATACCCTGTCCAGAGCAAATAATGCGGTCACCAACGCGAACGGCCTGAGCGTAGTTGAGGTTCTTCTCAGCCCACTTGCCGTACCCCGGGTAATTGTACTGCTGACAATTGGCCATTGTGTGCTATAGTCAAAAGAGGTGCAAGTAAAGCTAAGCTGTTGCGCGGTTCGGTGGACTTGAGAGAATATATCGGAGAAATAGTGAGGGGTTATTAACCTGTGTGCGGTGCAGGGGGGTCGGAGAGCAGCTGATGAGGGGGCGGCGCCATGATAAATGTAGCAAACGACTAGATCAGAGTCGTTGCGTAGTAATCAGGGCCCGTTTCTTGGCAAACTGCAAGACCCCCAAAGAGAGATGGGCTGTGCAAAAGTTTGCTTTTGGTGCGTCGGCTCTTTGTTCTTCGTTGAAGAATTGACTCAACAGAGTGGACTGAATCTGGCACGGCCCGGACAGAACTTGACCAGAAGCATCAAGAAAAAGATGGCGGTTCACGGCTGAGACGAACTAGCTCGGTGACCACCAACCACCCGGAGTCAGCCGAAGTTAGCCACCAGGGTATGGGAACTTGTCGGTTCTCGCATCACGCCATGAAGCCAAGCCCGCAAGCCACTCTGGAAGCCGAGAATCTGGGTTCTCCTCTTCCAATCTTCTCCCCACACTGTAAATCCCAACCGCCGATCGACATGTGGCAAGAGGGTTGCTATGAACCTGCCTTGACGAAAGAAGGAGCGAATCGCCCCCAAATCTACGCCGGCAAAAGAAGCTGCATGAATACCGTGATGGGAATCATGGATGAGCTGTCTCGATACAAGAATGCATCTATCCGTACCCTGCAAATACAGATACGGGCGACTACGCTATTCACGGGTCAAACGCGAGCTCAATGGCCGTCGTCAGTCCGTTGTCGTCGAAAAGGCGCCGCCGTTGCATATTTTCCGCCATTTATTTTTATTTTTATTTTATTTTTCCTTTTTTTTTAATAAAAGCAGAATTCCCGAATATTCCGCCAGAGATGATGCTAGAATATTTTGGGATTCATCGCGAGGTTTCGGGGCCGCAGTTGGATATATGTACAGGTCCCATCGGCGCCAAGATGCGGCTGAAGGAGGTCAAGTCATTCACCCTGATGCTGCCACTTGATAGGCTGTCACAGCGGTTCGTCAAGAGAAACGCGCGACACGTTCACGTTCAGGCGCACAACAACCCCGCAAGGCGCCTCCCACGAAGCTGACTGCCAAGACAACTTGCTGCCAAGAGAGTAATCAAGGGGACTGTGGTGAGAAACTCCGAGGCAAGGACTGCGACGACGATGTCGACATGACAAAAGTATGCTGGAATGGAGACAAAAGTGTTCTGGCTGGTTTTGTAGGCTTACCCTAGGGTGATGTATAAGTATCATATGCTGTAGTTGTCAAATGAAGCAGCCCTCCCTAACACCACACATGCAGCCCACGTACCGCAAACATATGAGGACCAACTTAATACCACATGTAACGAGGCAGCTCTTAACCGTCGGCGCCAGCAACAGCTAACTATTACAGGTATTGTTTTTCAGCGCCAGTAATAGCGCCACCAATAATCGGGGCTTGAAACTAGGTGATTTATGGCACGGATGCTTGTAGAACTGTGTCCGCCCGTACCAGGTTTCGAAAATGGAAAGAAATGGCCCGATTGTCGAGTTGTCTCTTCATGTGCTGTCAAATGTCAAATGTCAGCACGACCCATGTCTGCGTGTCGCACTACCGGGTGTCACGGCATCAACGTCTATCAATGAATTCAGCTCAACTTGCATTGCGAATTCAAAGCAGATAATTGCTTATAATTGCTTATCCTATAGTTCTTGCGGCAACATCAAGATGCTATCTTATCCGTATAGCAGCGTGAATCAACAATCGCAAAGCCACATCTCAGCCATCAGATTCTTCCCGCAAGCCACCCCGAAAGCCTCGTTTTGCTACAACCAACGTATCACCACGCAGCAATCTCATCGGGAGCCAGTCTGTTCAGTAATTTGTCCTCTGCGGTTTTTTTTCATCCCCCATTATCTTACGATAAACGGCCAGAAATCAGAAAATAGTCTCGTCGCTCGATGCGAATACAGCGCCGCGCGCCAATGCCTCTTGTTAGCGAGATGTTGTCCGTATACGGCTTGAGTTGTACTTGGCAGGAGTCGGCCCCATTACGCCGTCCGTACACGTTCAGTGGTAAAACTAGAACGTTTCAGATAATTTGAATCCAAATTGCGCAGGAATAACGCAAAATGATAGACCAGTCTACTACTTCCTCAACAATCCCACGCGGGTCGATGGACTGGACGACCTTGACAGATATTAACCTTATTTTCGTTGCCGCCGCTAACACACGGATGAATGCGTTATAATTCGCTAGACTAAAGACTAAAGAATAAACTAAGAGCAAAGCTGAGAACCCCCTGCCGGTGGCGTAACTGGCACCAAGTCTCGGCAAACAACACCGTCAACCCCATCCAATTCAGCCGTGAACCCTTTCAGCCTATTTATGCACACTCCTCCGCCCACGGAGGTTTCCTTTTCTGTCTACCAATACTTTTTGCTTTTCCTCTTTCCTACCCTCAAACCGTATTGCGTAGAATCAATTGCTGCAAAAATACCATCATGTTTGGCACCCTGACATGCCAACCTCAGGAGCCGTTGACGTTTGTCGAAAACGTGGACTTGGCATCCGCGCTAAACCGCAACAGAAGAGACTGTCCGCACATTTCCTGCGAGTCTTGCCGGCAAAAAAAGGTAATTTCTTAGTGCCTTTCTGTCCTCTTTAAGCTTTCCCCTGTACTGATGAGAATAGATCAAATGTAACGGTGACCCGGATGGCTGCGACAAATGCGCCGTCAGCTCCATCAACTGCCACTATGCTGTTCGAGATGCTAGACGTCGAAAGAGAAGAACAGCGACCGAGGACTACAACGTATCCAACTCGTTAGAAACCAATCCAACTGATACCAATGCCAATGGTTGCCCCTCACAACAAACCTTGGAGCAGATGCAGCAACATTTTGGAAACAGTGGCAGTGGGCAGAGCAGGAACAGCAACAACAGCCGCAAATCTATCCACCTAGCAAACGATACAACACAACAAGACATGGGCTGTGACATGATGCAAGCCATTTTGGATAATAACAGCGACTATACACAGTGGTATCCGGCCCGGTCTGCCGCATCGACCAAGTCAGCCTCAGACTCTGGAATTGGTATGGATGACTGGGCAAGTATGACTGCTCTCATGGACCAAGCCGTTCCTATCAATTTCGAGACAGGCTGGATAGATATGGGTGTTCGTTCTGGTGATGTGGAAAGGGGCACAGCCAATTCGTCAGACGAGTGGAATACTCTTCGTTCACGTCTCATGACACACAACAATAGTCAGGGCCCGTCCACGTCCACGTCTAAGGCGCACAGTATGTCGTCCCGGGCAAGCCTCACAGACTATGGCCAAAGCGAGCAAAATCGCCGCCTCCGTGCCAGAGCTGAAGTGTATGACGAGGACGACTTGGCTTTTGAGGATGGTAGCAGCTGGCAGCCGTCGCCTGCATCAATGCCGTCCAGAAGGAGAAGTGACAAGAGCAGAGATGGCTCTATGCTCCCTTCTGGGTCCGACGTCTTCCAGCCTGCGCACAGGCGTGGAAAAAACTCGGTTCAAGGCCATATTTCCGGCGACTGCGATTGTCTGACTACGACTGCCGCCCTGTTAAATGAGCTGGATGGGAAAAGCGCCGACTACGGCACCGAGTCGACGGACGTCTTGCTCGGCTACTTGCGAAAGGCGCTGAAGCACTGCAAAGGCGTGCTAGACTGCGGTGTTTGTGCCTCGAGGGGGGAGATTGTCATGATTCTCGCCATGGCCAGCCAGTATATGCGCGTCATGGCCGAAAATGTTGCCGCCCAATGCATCTGGCTTCAGGAGTCGTCGGCCGCAGCCTCAGCATCACCGCCAGCATCTTCGACCAGACACTCCAAGCAAAACAGCAACACCCAGTTTCCCATGTCGGGTCGAGACGACGTTTTTGGTGGCCAAAAGGGTGATCACGAGACGTCTAGCTCTGGCGACGCTATTGACAACATGTGGTTTTCCACCTACCGGATCGAGAGCCACGATGAGCGGCTTCACGTGCTCACGACGCTTGTATTGGTGCAGATTACCAACCTCTGTCACTTGCTAGGAATGCTCAAGCAGCGGTGCGACGGGAGAAAAGGGCCGCTTTCGCTGGTCCAGGGCGCGGAGAAGCGATGCAAGGAGGTGAGCGAAACTCTAAGAGAGCGTGTTCTCCAGAGGCAAGTGACGATTCTATGAGACAGGAGCGTTTTTTTTTTTGGGAAAATGAGGCCGGGGTTTGGTTAGGATGTTTTACCATTTATTAAAAAAACTCCAATTTTTTTCACGACAGCCACGATTTCTGAAGCCTTCGATCAACATTTTCGCTTATGAAGGATTGCTCATTTTAACCGCAGCTTTCAGTATGATGCCTTGTCGAGGCCGGAAGAATATCGCCAGGGAATGCTAGGAAGTAGTCTTTCCACCTCCGCCAAGCTCGCAAATCGAATACTGTGTTCGCAGACATGTGCACCTGGTCTGCTTCGTTGTTAGGCCAATCGGATGAGATAATGGGCGAAGCCTGTGCCGAGCCATCGCTGACCAATGACGTGAGCTAAGACAACTTTCAATTCGCAATATATTTGTGATGAGTGAATTGGTGACTATTGAGAGGCTTTAAGGGCGGCGGCGGCGGTTATGACGATGGTGATAAGGTGATGGTTAAGGTAAGGTGCTTGTGCAGGTAGTGCTAGTAGGGAGAGCGCCGTAGGTGGTGGCGGGGATAGAATACATTAAATTGTTAAAAAGATACTTATATTCATATGTGGTACGTACGAAAAGCTATGTACCTCTGCAAAATCTGCTAGTACTAGTAGCCGATTGGTGCACTGACAGATCCATTGCCGCCAACAGCAGCAGCTCGCGCGCGCCGCAACTGCGCCAGACTCTGCAAACTGTTTTGTTCACAGCAGCAATAACGTCGGCACCACGGTCCCGTCTCGCAGCATCAAAAAGATGGCGGATCCGTTCGAGGTGCGCATGCGATTTAGTTCTCAGCTTCAGCATCTCAATGCATCGGTTGCGTCGGCGCAAAAAGCAGCCCAGTATGCGCTAAAGTACAAGGAGTGGCACGAGGACCTGCATTCTTGCATCCTTGAGCAGGTCGAACGGGTTTGTCTGGCCAAGTAACCCAGCGGCTGCGCATAACACTGACTAACTCGAGTGGTAGACAAATATGAATACTCGGGCCAACATCATGTATTTCATTGAGCATTTCCTTGACCAAGCAAGCAGAGAAGGCCAACCGGACTACATTCAGATGATGCAGCGCGACATCATCCGCGTCGTCGATGCTGTGGCTCCGGATGATGGATCGGGGGCTGCCAATGTCAAAGTCGTCCGAAAGGTAACCAGAAATCAGTCGCGATACAGGCCCAGTGCCATACTAATACGTCAAAGGTCCTTCAAGGCTTGCAGGGCAGAGGCTTCCTTGACAGCCAGGTCGCAACGCAAATTATAGACGTGATCAAAGAACGCGGGACCAAGGACCATGATCTAGGGCTCTCGTCTCCGATGGAAAGTGTCACAATGGCGGAGCAGACACCCGCACAACCCCAAGGTCAGCCGGCCAAGCGGATAGTACCGACGCGGCTGGACAAGCGCCAGGTTGAGCAGCGCATCGAGGAGGATCGCGAACGACACAAGCGTGAGCGAGAAAGTATTTGGGCTGTTCCCAAGGGCGACGGTGCTGAGATGGACAAGCTCTGGGAGGAAACGAGCGACTTTGGCGAAGATGACGACCGTCTCATTACCGAGGAAAACGCCGACTTTGACACCGAAATGGAGATGCAGCTGTGTTCACACCAGCGGGCTGCGAATGGCGATCATCGATAGCAGCCTGATTCGACGTTGCTCTGGTTTGAATAAATGGTGGAATATAAATTGTTGGGCATTGGAAGGCGTTGGGATAATTCGGTTCTTCGTTGAAGGCGTCTGCTGTGGCTGTGGTCGAGATACCCAAAGACTGTTGCGCAAGCGCTGTTGAAACTTTGTCTATGGTGGCTCATAATAACATTTCTGGATACTTGCAGTATTGGTACAATGATGAGAATTTTATTTTATTCTGCTAGATACTAATACACATGGTTTTATACATGCCATGAGGCGCTCTACCGCCAGGATGGGCATCGCAGGCCCTTCATATCCTGCAACCTCATACCCTATGTGATACACCCCTTGCTCTGTTTCCTTTTATTCCATCGTGACCGTGGCGCCGAGCTCCTTCATGGTGGCGATGATCTTCTCGGCATCCTCCTTGGGGACGTTCTCCTTCATCATCTTGGGCGCGCTCTCGACAAACTTCTTGGACTCGACCAAGCTCAGGCCGAGCATGCTCTTGACCTCCTTGATGACCTTGGCCTTGGAGGCAGTCTCAAATGCTTGCAGATGGAGCATGAAGAGGGTCTTTTCGGCGGCGGCAGGGGCAGCCTCCTCGGCTTCTTCGGCAGCGGGGGCAGCAGCGGGAGCGGCAGCGAAGCCGCCCATAGGGAGATCGGGGATTTTGAGCTTGGTCTGGAAGAGCGCTACTGTTAGCAACCACGGTATGTGCGTATGTGTCAGCCCCAAGCTGCGGTAGAGTTGTGTCTCTCCTGCGCCTGTGGACTCGGACGGTGAGTGGCATTCTTACCTTGAGGCTGGAGACAAGGTCGGCCGTCTCGAGCAGCGTCAGCTTGCTAATCTGGTCGACAATCTCGGCAATCTTCGGGTCCGTAGGCGCCGTCGCGGCAGCTTCTGTCGAGTTGTACCGTCTCGATGTGGCACCCAGGCGTAACGTCTGTGTAGGTGCTCGCAGGGCGCTGGCAGAGCGCAATTGGCGGGCGCAGGTGCGCGCCGCGTACCGGCAGGACATGGCCATGGCTGTGGAGGACGGAATTGGTGCGCCTGGTGATGCGTGGCTGGACGGGGGAGGGCGAGGAGATGCGATGAGTTTGAGCGAGTCGCGTGCGGTTTCTCGTCGGCTTGAGCAGTCACCCTGAAGTTTTTCCGCCAGCTTGCTTTCTCTGCTGGACTAGCGGCCCGCAGCTATCTCATTTCCCTACTGTTGATTGGTCCGGATATTTGTAGTACCACCACCGAACCAGATCCCTGCCGAACTAGCCAAAAAAAAAAAAAAGTTCAGCGGCCAGCCAGCAGAGCTCCAGTCAGTGTACGGCCAGAAAGGCATTTGGCACTTCTGCATACCCGTTTGAAAGGTTGCAAGAAAAAAATATTCGATACAGTCGCCATCATGGCCCTGATCGATGTTTCGAGGCAGAGGAGGTCACTCCTACAAGATGCGACCGTTTTACAACATCTGCCCGCTGATGTACTGGCCCTAATCCAGAGCCAGTCCTCCACAAGCCTGCTGGATGCCATCGCACAAGCGGCTCTCATCCCAACACTTACAGACCGCATATACGTGCATTTTGAAAATGTATTCCCCGACATCTGCGCCCGATGGGCTCTCCGTGCAAAGTCGGACCTGCAGCGTATATATGCTGTTTCTGCTGCCGCTAGATTATTACCATTGAGCCCCGACCTCGCCGCCTTTCTCTGGACCCAGCGTGAGCGACCCTCACGGTCCTCGCCGCGGCATCTGCAACCTCTGCAATTGGACGATATCTCATTGAGCCTGGGCGAATCAGACCTTCTCAAATGCTTATTGGCAACATGGCGACTCCTGAGTTTTGATTTGCGCGCCTTCAGCTCCATCGTTTCTGCGGCGCTCATGCAACACCTGTTCGCCCATGACAGTCGCGCAGTCCGATATCTCGCCATTCGTATCTTCTGCCAGCTTCTATACGCCTCGGATAAGAAGCTAGAAAATCTTGTTCAAACTCATCTTGGTGAAGAACCCGTTATGGCCGATTTCGACGGCATCCAGATTGACTATGGCTTTCTTTCACTGCACGAGCATGAACGAGTCAAGAAGACGCTTTCCTTGCGACGACAAATTTCGCAAAATATCTCAGAAAATAACGACACGGAGCAAATGCAACAATTAACACCATATTCTATCGCATACGGACAGGTATTGTTGCCCCGTCCGTATGGCCCAACTGGTGATCAGCCTAGCCTGGTCTTGACTGACACTACAATGTCTAACCTCGAATCCTTCGCAAAACTGTTGCGCAACCCTGGCCCGATTTTGCTTCATGGGGCCTCTGGAGTTGGAAAGACAGCTCTCGTTCAGGAGATTGCGACTCAACTTGGAATGTATTCCGAGATGGTCACATTGCATTTGAACGAGCAAACGGACGCGAAAATGCTCATTGGCCTGTATTCTACAGATACGAAGCCGGGCACCTTTCAATGGCGCCCAGGTGTGCTAACAACAGCTGTTAGAGAAGGACGGTGGGTTCTAGTGGAAGACCTTGACCGAGCACCGACCGAGGTCCTCAGCACGTTGTTGCCCTTGATCGAGCGCAATGAACTTCTCATCCCGAGCCGAGGAGAGACTATTCGAGCAGCCAGCACTTTTCGCCTTCTAGCTACCGTCAGAACGTCGCGAGGGCTGAACGGTCGCGACAACTTGCCCTCGTTGGTTGGAATGCGCTTTTGGCAATCCATTCACATCGAGCAGCTCACAGAATCCGAGCTCGAGCGAGTCGTCGTCGACACACATCCTATCCTTCGAAAATACACCACCGGAATCTTAGCTGTGCACCGTCGGCTGGCCCGATTAAGTAGCTCTCCTGTCACCACTGCCCGCGGACGCAGCGTAATGGACAGACAGTCGAATCTCAGGGATCTGCTAAAGTGGTGTCGGCGACTGAAAGAATGCCTGCTAGTCGCAGGATCAACGACCGGAGAGGAACCCATCTCGGAAACAACCAGAGATTGGATGTTTATGGAGGCTGTCGATTGTTTTTTGGGAAGCTGTCCAGATGTTGATTTGAGTAAGCACATGGCATTCGCGATTGCTGAAGAGATGCACTTGTCTAGGGAACGGGCAGAGCATTATTTGACTGCCAATATACCCCCCCTACACGAAACCGAAACTCAGCTAGCGATAGGCAGAGTGACCTTGAAGAAGAAGCGAGTTCAGCCAAAGGCTGCCAAGCCAAAGCAGCCGTTTGCCAGCACTGTCCATGCCAAGAGACTACTTGAGCAGATTGCTGTTGCTGTCAAGCTCGAGGAGCCGGTGCTCCTGGTTGGTGAGACTGGTATTGGCAAGACAACTGTTGTGCAACAACTGGCAGAGTCTCTCGGTAACAAGCTTATCGCGGTGAACCTTTCGCAGCAGAGCGAGGTTGGAGATTTGCTTGGTGGATTCAAGCCTGTCAATGTGCGTAGCCTCGCAGTCCCACTCAAAGAAGAGTTTGAAGATCTTTTTGATGCCACCGGCATTTCAGCCTCAAAAAACCCAAAGTACTTGGAGCAGGTTGGAAAATGCTTCGCGAGATCGCAGTGGTCCAAGGTTGCAAAGCTTTGGAAAGAAGCACCTAAAATGTTTGTCAAGATCGTCTCAGAGCTGGAGCAGGCTCATGCCCAGGCCCAGAAAGAGAGACAAGCCGACTCGCAACCGACGAAGCGCAGGAAGACACAGTCAAAACTGCAAAGTTTATTAGACCTACGGCCGCGATGGGAGACGTTTGCTAGGAATCTTCAGCAGTTTGAAGTTCAAATCGCGGCTGGGCCCGGTGGGTTTGCCTTTTCATTCGTTGAAGGTAATCTTGTCAAGGCCTTGCGAAATGGTGACTGGGTCCTTCTTGACGAAATCAACCTCGCGTCTCCCGACACTCTGGAGAGCATTGCGGATCTACTGACAGGACCCAATGAACGACCTTCGATACTGCTATCCGAGACTGGCGAGATCCAAAAGATTATCGCGCATCCCAATTTCCGCATCTTCGGTGCAATGAACCCGGCGACAGATATCGGTAAAAGAGACTTGCCAGCCGGAATCCGATCCAGATTCACGGAGCTTTACGTGAAGAGTCCGGATACCGACGAGAAGGATCTACTTCTCATTATCAAGACCTATTTGGGGAGCACAAGTAACAAAAATGATAAGGCGGCGAATGACATTGCGCGACTGTACCTCAACACCAAAAAGCTGGCTGAGCAAAAGCGCATCGTTGATGGTGCCAATGAGGTCCCCCATTTTAGTCTGCGAACCCTTACTCGTGTACTGATGTATGTCAATACTATCGGATCGCTTTACGGCCTCCGAAGAGCACTTTACGAGGGCTTTTCAATGGGTTTCCTGACTCTGCTTGATCGCAAATCCGAGGATATGCTTGTGCCGCTCATCTATCATCATCTTCTCGACAGTCATGGCGACCCCCAATCCCTCTTATCGCAACCCCCTAGGCATCCTAATGATGGGAAGAGCTATGTCAAGTTTCAAAACAAAGCACGCGATAGGCAATATTGGCTTTTCCAAGGCGATGAGCAACCTGTGGAAAGGGAAGATTACATCATTACACCATATGTTGAGCGCAACTTACTCAACCTTGTTCGCGCCACTTCCACACGGAGATTTCCCGTCCTCATCCAAGGTCCCACCTCGGCTGGTAAAACAAGCATGATCGAGTATCTCGCTAACTTCACCGGCAATAAATTTGTACGAATCAACAACCACGAGCATACGGACTTGCAGGAGTATCTTGGTACTTACGTATCTGGATCAGATGGGAAACTCAAGTTCCAGGAGGGAGTTCTTGTGCAAGCAATGAGACGAGGACATTGGATAGTTCTTGACGAATTGAACCTGGCACCCACAGACGTTCTTGAAGCGCTCAACCGACTCCTTGACGACAACCGCGAGTTGCTCATTCCAGAGACGCAAGAAATCGTTCGACCGCATGAGAACTTTATTCTCTTCGCGACTCAAAACCCACCCGGTCTCTATGGTGGACGTAAAATCCTCTCGCGTGCCTTCCGAAACCGATTCTTGGAGCTGCACTTCGATGACATCCCAGAAGATGAATTGGAGTTCATCCTGCAACAGCGCAGTCGCAATACATCGCCTCCTGACTGCCGCCGTATCGTCTCTGTCTACAAAGAGCTTTCCAGACTTCGCCAGACCAGTCGACTTTTTGAGCAGAAGGACAGTTTTGCCACCCTTCGAGATCTTTTCCGATGGGCCCTTCGTGAGGCCGAAACGCGCGAAGATATTGCTGCGCATGGCTTTATGCTTCTGGCTGAGCGAGTGCGGAACGATGATGAGAGACAGGCCGTGAAGGATATTATCGAAAAGGTGTTCAAGGTAAAGATTGATACACAAAAGCTTTACTCCGCGCAAGACGCACCGGAATTGAGGAGCTTTGCTGCCGAGCAGAACAGCCAGGGTGTGGTTTGGACCCATGCCATGCGCCGACTCTATGTCCTCGTTTCACGGGCACTCAAGAACAACGAGCCGGTCCTCTTGGTAGGAGAGACTGGTTGCGGCAAAACAACTGTCTGTCAGCTGCTCGCGGAAGCTCTCAAGAAACAACTGCATATTGTCAACGCTCACCAGAACACCGAAACCGGAGACTTGATCGGCTCCCAGCGTCCTGTTCGTAATCGTGGAGCCATCGTTGATTCTCTAGACAAGGATCTTACTCTGGCGCTGACGCTCGCGGGCATCTCCATCCCCGTGTCGCCCGAAGAAAAGTACCAGCTTTACGAGACTCAGGCGATCAACAGCGACCAAGTCGGCAGTGAGCTCAAGAATAAAATTGCAAGCAATGCTACCAGAAGCAAAGCCCTCTTCGAGTGGTCTGACGGCGCTCTAGTCGAGGCCATGAGAGATGGACAGTTTTTCCTGCTGGATGAAATTTCTCTTGCAGACGACTCTGTACTAGAGCGATTGAACTCGGTACTGGAGCCACAACGTACGCTGCTCCTGGCTGAAAAGGGCAGCGCCGATTCTTTCGTGGTTGGCGCGCCTGGCTTTCAATTTTTTGCGACCATGAACCCTGGCGGCGATTTTGGCAAAAAGGAGCTTTCGCCCGCTCTTCGAAACCGGTTTACCGAAATCTGGGTTCCTCAACTGTCGGGCGACGATGATATTTACGAGATTGTCCAGACAAAACTAGAAGATGATGTCAAGCAGGCTACCAAGGTCATCATTGCCTTTGCTGTTTGGTTTGGTGCCACTTTCCGTCCCATGGCTACCACACCATTTTCAATCCGTGAGATATTGGTCTGGGTTTCGTTTATGAACTCTGCTACAGCAAGCAAAATGCCGTTTGCGCTGGTTCATGGCGCCTCGGCCATCTTCATTGACAGCATTGGCGCCAACCCCTCCGCGGTTCTCGCCACAGATCCCCAGGCTACCCAGAGGCAGCGCCAACAGTGCCTCGACAAATTGACCGAACTCATCGGCGAGGACGCCTCTCAGCTTTACGATTCCGAGCCAGAGTTCAAGGTCACGCCAGACTGTCTGGTCATCGGCTCGTTCAGTATCTCACGCACGCTGGACGCCTCCCCGCTTGCGGATTTTGCCTTCCACGCCCCGACCACCAGAAGAAATACTATGCGGGTTGTTCGGGCTCTGCAAATGCAAAAGCCAATTCTGCTTGAAGGAAGCCCTGGTGTAGGAAAGACATCTCTTGTCGCTGCTCTGTCTCATGCTTGTGGGCAGCCACTCACTCGTATTAACCTATCGGATCAGACTGATCTCATGGATCTCTTTGGTACTGATGTGCCCGTTGAGGGAGCCGAGGCCGGTAACTTTGCATGGCGCGACGCCCCGTTCTTGCAGGCAATGCAAAAGGGCGAATGGGTCCTGCTCGATGAAATGAACTTGGCGTCTCAGTCCGTGTTGGAGGGTCTGAACGCATGTCTAGATCACCGTGGAGAGGTTTACGTGTCGGAACTCGACCAGGTCTTTAAGCGTCACCCCGACTTCCGCCTCTTTGCCGCGCAAAATCCTCATCACCAAGGCGGTGGCCGCAAAGGATTACCCGCGTCATTTGTCAATCGCTTCATTGTCGTCTATGCCGACGTGTTTACCGATGAGGATCTCAAACTCATCGCTTCCCACAATTTCCCAAACTTGCCCATCGACATGGTCAGCAAGCTTATTCAGTTTGTCACCGAAATGGACAAACAACTGGTGGTGGACCGCTCTTTTGGTGCCCAGGGCGGACCCTGGGAATTCAACCTGCGTGATGTGCTTCGCTGGCTCCATCTGCTCAATTCCCCAGACCCCATCCTGCAGCAAGGCCAGGCCGATGATTTCCTGGACATCATGGTCCGGCAACGCTTCCGCCTGCCACAAGATCGACATGAAGTCACCAAGCTCTACACCCAAGTGTTTGGAGCTGAGCCTCGCATCCACAGCCTGTATCACGACCTAAATGCCGATTCTAGCCAGGTTGGCCTCGCACTCCTTCCTCGAAATGCTGCCTCGCAGCCAGAGCGTTTACCGCCAATCAACATTGTCCCGCGTCTTCCCGAGCTAGAGTCTCTCATCATCTGTGTCAAGCAAAATATTCCTTGCATTTTGACCAGCCCCTCCGGCCATGGAAAGACGGCGCTGTTGGAGTACGTCGCGGCCTTGTCCGGAAAGCCTCTTGTCGTGTTCCCAATGAATGCAGACATTGACACTATGGATCTTGTGGGTGGGTTCGAGCAAGCTGACCCCCTTCGAGAAGTAAACGCCGCCATTCGCGACTTGCGCGCCTATCTGCATGACTCCATCATGACGATGATCCCTACCAAGCTCCCCGATTCTGTTCTTATCTTACTGTACGAGATTGACAATTTCTCTGGTGATAGAGACGAGATCTCGCGCATTCAATCCTCCATCGCCTCACTTCTCCAGGAGCTACCTGCCGACTCCGATGTTGGCGTACATCTTTTCAAAGTTGCTGCGCTTCTCGAGCAACCGCTGGTCCTCGAGAACCCTAGATTCGAATGGCTTGACGGAGTCATAATCAAAGCTTTAGAATCTGGCCAGTGGCTGGTACTGGATAATGCAAACCTCTGCAACGCGTCGGTGCTGGATCGTCTGAACTCTGTCCTGGAACCCAACGGCTTCTTGAGTGTGAACGAGCACTGTGGGCCAGGCGGCGAACCACGTATTGTGAGACCCCATCCAGACTTCAGAATTTTTCTCACCGTGGACCCAAGATATGGCGAGCTTTCTCGAGCGATGCGTAACCGAGCTGTCGAGATATATCTATGCGACACCCCTCCAAGTGTGGATCCCAGTCTTCATTACATCGCACCTGTTGAGAGCTGTCTCCAGAGATACCTGTCAACCCTTGATATTTCGCAGCTGCTAGAGCAGAACGGCAAGCCTTCTGAAGCCTTGCGCATTTCTCTTCAGAACGCGAGCTTTCAGGATCTCGCCATCCTCTTGCGCTTTACCAACGAATTCGGACAAGACTCGCTCCTCGCCCCTCATCTGCAGCATTTTGTCGAGTTTCTCCAATCCCCCAATGGGTCAGATGCCCGAAAGAGCGTCTCGGATCTTTATTCAACCTTGCCTGAGAGTCTCGTTACCGGTACAGCTCAATCCCAGCCTGTCCATCCTTTGAACAATTATGCGGTATCTCGCTTGTCACAAACTCAGAATTCAGCAGAGTGGGCCGCGACCATTTACGACACCTGTGTAGAGCTTTTCAGTGTGCAGCAATCCATTGACCACCACAAATCTTTGGCTCGGACTTCCAAACTCGGCGCTCTCAACAGACTACAGCGATCACTAATCAGTGACCGTGTTGCTGCCGTTTCAAAGGACTCTACTGTTCGATTGGCTGCTTTCATGGAGGCCGTACTGAGCGCTATTCGTGCATATCTTGGCAACGCACCATCGAGCGAGCATGATATCTCTACCAGATTCTTGCGCCTCATGTGGAACTACATCGCGCGCACTATCAAATTGGCTACTGAAGAAACGCTGGATGAAGCCAAGTTCCAGGCTCATCTTACACAAGGCACGCGGCTATTAAATAAACAGCTTGCGAAGATTGAGTCTCCAACCCTCTCCGCTCTAGGTTCACATATTCTCGAAAAGCTACAAAGCGACTTCGCGAGTGGGTTCAAGTTGTCCACGGGTCTGAGCATGGAACAGCTCTGGAACACTCTTCGGCCGCTTCCCATCCCCAGTCAGTTTATCTACGACGAGGTGCTTAAACTAGATCAACTAGTGGCAAGATTCGACGAGTTGCGCTGGAAAACACGAGCGAGTATCCCGGAGCTCTCCAAGGCGCAGCAGACTTTGGAACAAGCATACTCCATTGTTCGGTCAGGCGCCAGCAGCTCTGATGAACTTGTGCAAGAGCTTTCTGCAGTTGTTGAGGCCCTAGAGAGTCAGATTGGAGACGAGAACGGGAAGCGGGCGCCATTCTTTGCTTCGCAGTTCGAGAGTCTTAGGCAAATTGACATGCTGCGCGCAAAGCCCACTGCTGATGCTGGAAATAACGAGCTCTCCCTTTTGTCCAACATCTCCACTGGAGCTCGTTTGATGCTCGCAAGCACAACTGGCCCCGCGTCATGGCTTCAGTATGTCGACTGCTTGGGTTATCAAAACCAGTACCCTTGGGATGGACGCCTGTTGCTATCCACCTGGGCCAAGCTCAACAGCATCAACGCAGTCACTTTGAACTCTCTGCAGCTTCTCGAAACTGAGCTGCCAGCCTTGGGTCGCCAGATGACACAAATGACTTCTGCGATCTCGGCCAACCCTACAACCCAACTGACCCGAGTCTTGCAGATCCTGCTGCTTGATGTCTTTGCAAGCCACGGCGAAACATCTCGCGCCCTTGGTCAAGAACTTTTGGCCAAGGCAGCGGAGCTTAGCACCACAACTGTAGGCTGCGAGAACACACTGCGAGATGTTTGTTCTGCCAATGAAGACCTACCCGCCCATTTCAGGGAAGTTATCCTCGATCACTTCATCCCTTCGATTGTTGCTTTTGCTACTTCGAATATGTCCACCAGTGGCAACACATGGCATTGCGGCTTAGCCTGGACTCAGTTCACCATTGGACTTGCAAAGCTCTACGTCCCTGACCGTATATTTGACCCTCAACTCAGTCCCATGATGGAGCGCCAATTCTTCGAGCAACTCGAATCTCTCTTGAACGACAACCTCTCACATATCCAAGTATTTGACGAAATCTTTGCTGGCCAACTCACCAGTACTAGACAGCAGCTCCTTGTGGATGAGATAAATCAGCTAGATCCGCTCCCTGAAGAGGTGGTTGCTGTCTTCAGACCCAAACGATCTGAGTTGAGCCAGATCCATGCTGAGTTCTCAAATGTTATGAAATGCATTGTGGGCTCCGATATCATCACGACTTTGCAGTCTCATTCGGGCTCAGCAGATGGCGAAAGTGGCCTCGCTTTGCTGAAAGAAAATATCATGAGACTACTTGATCGCCTCGGTGCCCGTTTTCAGGCATACCAGGACATCACACGACCGGTTTCGAGTATTTTGCGCTGCTTCCTCATTGGTCTTTCACTCTGCAATTCCTCAAATGCTGACAATTTGACCGGCCCTGTGCAAGTCATTGCGGATGCCACCCCCTTCGTTGGTGGACTGTATATGGGCGGTTCTCTTGCAGAGGCGGACAACTCATTTGAGTTCCTTGATGTCGTAAATAGCAAAATTTCCATCAACGGGCAGTCTGAGCTCGATGATGAGTTACGGCAGCAGGTTTTCGAATGTTTCCACTCATTCTTTGATGACTGGAGCAAGCGTCTCGAGGCGGACAAGAAAGAGGAAGCTGCTAGAACGAGCATGTACCGATTCCGTGGGTCGTTCGAGGACGAAGAAGAAGTGGATGCCGAAGAGTTCAGCGAGCTGTTCCCCACGTATGATGACGAGAACACCTCAGTCAAGCCCAGCAAAGACAAGGATGAGGTACGCACGACGTCCGTGAAGGTAGCAGAGATCCACAAGAAAATCTTCCTGGAAAGTGACGAACCTTCTGCGGCCCTTCGCCGGATGTGTTTCGGCATTTGCAACCGCATAGTGCGCGAATTTGGTGACCATGACAACCTCAGCCAGGATCTACAAGGCAAATTTATCGGGCCTGTCGTGCTTCTGCTGAGCGAAAAGGTGCATGAGCTTCAAACACCACCAACAGACAAGACCTACAACTTTTACACACACGCCAACCTCACAGAGGCGCGCCAATTGGTTGCCGTTGTGCATGATATCCGCGCCAAGTTCCGAGAGCTGCAGATGGTTGATGAGATTGGTCACATGCAGCCCTTGGCCGACGTCATTCAAGCGTGTGATGGAGTCTTGGAAATTGTTCACACCGAGCCCCTCGCAAAGATTGTGCACAAGGTAGAGCACCTGCACGCTCTAGTTTACGAGTGGCAGTTTGGAGGCTGGGCCAGTCAGAAGTACGGTGCACTGGACTTGCACAATGCCCTGACCGGGACAATTATTCGCTGGCGCAGACTCGAATTATCTACGTGGGGTAATCTCTTTAACATGGAAAAGGCCAAATGCGAAGAGGACGCCTACTCGTGGTGGTTTATTGCCTATCAAGTTATCATCGCCGTGCCACTTTCGATGGCTGACTCCAAACCGGATCTTCAGACATATGCGACATCTCTTCTGCAGAGCCTGGAGTCGTACTTTTCTACATCGATTGTTGGCCAGTTCCGAACGCGAGTCTCTCTCCTCAGACAACTTTTGGCTCATCTGAAGGCACTCACTCAAGATTATCCGAACCTGGTGATCATCACTCAGGCAGTTGCTAACTTTCTTGCTTACTACGCGAGATTCGAAACGCTTGCGGATAAGACGATTGCAGCGGGTCGCGCGCCTATTGACAAGAAGATGAAGGATGTGCTACTCATGGCTAGCTGGAAGGACACCAACATCAATGCCCTGCGTGAGAGTGCCAAGAAGTCTCATCTCAAGCTTTTCCGTATTGTGCGCAAGTTCCGCGGCGTTCTAGGCCAAGAGATGAAAACCCTGATTATGCAGGGCTTGCCCGATGAAACGACATTCCCTGGAAACGCTAGCCTCGCCCGTCCTGCTGAGCATGTGGTTGCGCCTGAAATGTTGGCCCTGCTGGAGTCAAATGCTCCTGGTTGGCTTGCCAGCCACAAGCGCCTGGCAAACGTTATCAAGACAGTTTCTGTGATGAATAGCATTGCCAATACTCCTCAAATTACCGGAACTGTCGCTGACAGCCTCGAGTCGTACCTAGCTAGTCTGGAAGAGTCCATTGCGGAGCTTCGCAAGGAAACACCGGCCCAACTGACAGAGGAGAACAAGACTGAAGTGAAACACCTCAAGACAAGAAAGCGCAAGCTCTTTGCCGATACCTTGCGAGAGCTACGCAACATGGGCCTCCGATACAACCTTGCTCAAGAACCTCTCGCGGAGCAAGATTCCTTGGCAGTGGTCCTTGCATCTGGTACGAATATTACGCTAGATAGCTCTGCCTCTATCAACGAAGCCGAGTACTATTTCCACAAGATGCTAGATCTGGTACCTAAAGTCCGAGAGGCGGCCCGTGATCACTCGGAAGATCTCACTTCTGCCGAGGTGCTTCGCAGCATCGGTTTCGTTGAAGGCTTCATCTATCTCTCCCGAGCCCAGCGCCGAAACATCGCCACGGCCACTCGCTCCCTTGAGTCACTTCAGAGCGCTGTCACTTCGTTCACTAATCTGCGGCACTTCGAGAAGCTTGGTAAAATACAGAATCGCAGCGCGGAGAGCAATATTGAGACTCTGCTTCCTTGGGTCCTGCAACTACTAGGGTTCGGCATCAAGCTGGTGCGTTCTCATGGAAAGCTTCTTGGAACAAGCCACGATTCAGTCTTGGAGAAGCTTCAAAGCTGGGTCGGCCAGCTTGACGGATACCAGAAGACGCTACACGCGCTGCCAAATCTGCCAACAAATCTGACTTCGGAGTCGTACGAGACATCACACACAGACATTTTCAACGCATTTGTTCAAATGCGCGCTGAGCTAGCAGACATGATGCGGGAGTCTCCCAACCTGTCCTTCGTCCTCAGCTATATCTCGAGCTGGTCGAATACAGAGATCGAAGCGGCAAACTCCGAGCCGCAAAACCTACCTCTGGTCAACTTTGGGGGCATTCTGGCAAGACTCAGTGACACGATATTAGTGGCCGTGGAGGCGGCTAAGAAGAAGGCTTTCGAGGTTTCCACGAACGAGGAGGAGCCAAGCTGGTTTGTGAACCACAATGATGGTCTGTTCTCAGTGATCAAGCAACTGCGGATGGATGGATTCTCCAAGAGCGTCGAACAGTCTCTACAATTACTGGAGCAGTTGGATCTGAGCTCAAGTGTGACGAGCAGTGCAGCCGCCGGTATGATTGCGGTTGTCTCACCGATTCTACAGGAGTTTGTCTTTTTCTGTCAAAAGTCGGTTGAGAATGCCCTCAGTGTGCATAAATCTACAACACACATGGGTTACGTCTTGACTCGCGCGTTTACTCAGATCGGCACCCAGGGATTCTGCACGCCGCAAGAAAAATCAGATGAGACCTCTGGCGAAGGCAAGGTTGAGGCCGGTACTGGTCTTGGTGATGGTGAAGGCGCTGAGGAGGACATTAGCAAGGATATCCAACCTGATGAGGACCTCACTGAACTCGCGCAAGAGGCGAATAAGGAGCAAAATGGCGAAATGGAGGACGAGAAGGACGCTGTTGATATGGCTGATGAAGAGCTTGAGGGTGACCTGGGCAGCGTCGACGCCGCTGACGAGGATGAGGAAGATGGATCCAAGAATGGAGAAGAGGAAGAGGAAGAGAATGACATGGATGAGGAAGCAGGCGATGTCGATGATTTGGATCCCACCGCCGTTGACGAGAAGATGTGGGATGGTGAAGACGAAGAGAAGGCCGACAAGGACCAGCAGGGAGAAAAGGCGCAGGGTCAAAAGAAGGAGGATGATCCCATTCCCGACGAGACCAAACCCAGCAAAGACGAAGCCGAGAAGGAGGCGGATGGTGACGACAAAAAGGATGATACCCAAGAGGACGAAGCCGAGGATGAAGATGAAGAGGTCCAGGCGCAAGAAGAGCTAAACAAGCAGGACCAGAATGTGCAGGAAAATGATACGCTTGCACTACCTGAGGAAATGGACCTGGACCTGGAGGATGAGGAAGAAATGTCTGGTGACGAGGACATCGACGACTTCTCAGATGTTGATAAAGATGAACCTGTCACCGAACAACAGGAGGACAATCCTGATGAGGACGGAGAGGAGGAAGTTGGTGACGAGACACAGCAAAAGCCTGCTGAGCCCGAGGAAGGCGAGGGAGAAAGCGAAAAAGAAAACGAAGAAGATATGGACGTCAATGCTGTCGGTGAAGATGAGGTCGAGGAAGATGTCAAGGAGCCAGACCAGCAGGAGAAACTGGATGATGAGCAACAAGAGAATGCCCCGGATCAGTCTGATCCCACAGATGCAGCTGAGCTCGACAATGCAGCCCCGAGCGACGTCAAGAGCTCTGGACAGGACCAAAACAAAGACGCCATGGAGTTGGATGACCAATTCCAAGCTAATGCAGCGGAGCAAAACGAGGGTGATATGGGAGAGGCCGGCGCAGATGAGAACACCAGTTCGGGGAACAAGGGTGCCATTTCACGTACAGAAAAATCGGCCGAACAGCAAGACGAGGACGCAGCAGAGCCTGAAACCGCGCGCAAAGACCCATTCAAGAAGCTGGGGGATGCTCTGGAACGCTGGCACCGTCAGCAATCCGATATCAAAGAAGCTCAGCCGAATGAAGATGTCAAGCAGGAACAGGGTAACCAGCCTGATGAGCAGACGCAACGAGAATTCCAGCATCTCCAAGACGACAAGACTGCGCCTGATACACAAGCCATGGGCACCGCAGACAATGAAGACATTCAACCAATGGATGAAGCCATGGCTATCGATGAGGAGAAGAAGGACCCAGAGAGCCGCGTCACTGAAGGAGCTGATGACCAGGAGACAGATGAAACCCCTGACGAAATGGATACCACGGAGGCAGATGGCACCAAGGCTGATAATGAGCGCGAAGATGATGGCCGATCCGGTGTCAAGACGCGCCAGGGCAACTATGACAGAGAGCCAACGCCTGAAGAAGACGGCGTCAAGAAGGAGGAGTTAGAGGAAGACGAGTCTCTCCAAAACGCCTCTGAGAAGCTATCAATCACGCACATTTCCGACGAGGACCGTCATCTGCGCGACCTTGGCGACTGTCTACGAGAGTGGTCCGACTTCCAGTCCAAAACTCACAGCCACTCCCTCTCCCTGACGTCGCAGTTGCGGCTCATCCTCACGCCCTCGCAGTCGACCAAGCTCTCGGGCGCCTTTCGTACCGGCAAGCGGCTCAACATCAAGCGCATTATCCCGTACATTGCGTCAAGCTATAAGCGGGACAAGATTTGGATGCGGCGCAGCGTGCCGACCAAGCGCACGTACCAGGTGGTGCTCTGCGTCGACGACTCGCGCAGCATGGGCGAGTCGTCGTCGGGTACCCTCGCCATGGAGTCGCTCGTCATGGTGGCGCGTTCCCTCGCGATGCTCGAGGTCGGTCAGGTCGGCGTACTCGGCTTCGGCGCCAACGTCTTTACCGCGCACCGCCTCGCCGACCCCTTCTCGGCCGACGCCGGCGCCAAGGTGCTGCAGCAGTTTTCCTTTTCTCAGGACCGCACCGACATTGTGCAGCTCATCCGCCAGACCATTGACAATTTCCGGCTGGCACGGCAGCAGCAGGCGGGTGGCGGCAGCGCGGATCTGTGGCAGCTGGCGCTCATCTTGTCGGACGGGCTGACGCCGTCGTCGGCGCACGACGAGATTCGAAGGTTGCTGCGCGAGGCCATGGAGGAGCGCATCATGGTCGTCTTCATTGTCATGGACGACAGGGACAAGGTATCGGGCGACAGCGTGCTGGAGCTCAAGGAGGCCAAGTTTGTCAACGAGGGCGGCGAGAGCAGGGTCGTCATCGAGCGCTACCTCGACACGTTTCCGTTCCAGTACTACTTGATTGTGCACAACATGGAGGAGCTGCCGAGTGCGCTGGCCGGCTTGCTGCGTACCTGGTTCGCAGAGGTTAATTCATGAATGTTTTTTGTTTCTTTTTGTTTCGTTTTTTTTTGGTTTGTGCATTTGACAAATCTTTCTTGCTCCAGCATATAGACGGAAGGATTGCGACACTTTTTTGCATGCATACTGGCGTTTTTACGGAATTTGAGGATTATAGGAGAATGATGTTGTCACGTTTTATAGAGTTTAAAAGCAAATTTCTGGAGATTCAATTTACAAGCACACTTATACGTTACAACCATGCATGGTCTAGTTATTTACCATTGATGCATCGGAATGCATCACCCACCTTCGCGGGCGCGCGCCGCCCCGCATCATGCCGAAATCCCGAGGAAGCGCCAAAGTCCACCAGCGTTTGTCTGTCTCTCTTGGTGACGGCATTCTGCCACAAACTTCATCTCTGCCGCAAACTTCGTTTGATTGCTTTGCCAGTAAGCCCCGGGGAAAAACCAAAAGCTACACGCGTCTCTTAAAAGCGCTTCCTCCCCTTGGTCGTCGTTTACAAGTCAATGCCAATTGCCAGCCGATCCAACGTGCTCCTCCTCCTCGCCGCCGCCGCTCGTCCGTCGCCCGCCTCGTACTCTGTCGCGATCCGCCCTTGCTTCGTCGCCCGCCCGTCGCGTGTCCGCACCATGACACAGACAGCCGCGCAGATGCGCTTCAGTACGTTCCCGGATCGCAGAAAACCCTGTCATTGCGAAAATGCTAACGTTTTTTGCCTCGTGCTAGAGAATCCCGCCCTCTTGTACGCGATGCCGGTGTTCCCCCGCTGAAGCAATTCCAGCTGCTGCGCGGAACAAAGCAACACTATGCGAAAAAAATAATTTCCGAGCTGATTTGAAACCCGTCGTACAGTGTCTGCGACTTGCAAGAAAAGTTCCGCACTGCCATTCACGAGTTTGACAAGGTGTACGTCCCCTCCATCCGCCGCCCATTCTTTCCCGCCCAAAAACTGACTTTGGGGGGGTGCAACCTTAAGCGTCACGACGACGGAGAAGCTCCTCGCCTTTGCCAAGGCCGCCTCGATACCCGTGCACGTCACGACGCAGACGGCGGCCAAGCTCGGGCCGACGGTGCCCAGCGTGGCCGCGCACCTGACGTCGACGCCGATTGACAAGACGCGCTTCTCGATGCTGGTGCCCGCGGTGGAGGCGCGCCTGACGCCCGCGTCGCAGGTCGCGCTCGTCGGCATCGAGTCGCACATTTGCATCACGCAGACGGCGCTGGACCTGCGCGACGCCGGCCACGCCGTCTACGTCATTGCCGACGGCGTCAGCAGCTGCAACCGCCAAGAGGTCGTCGTCGCGCTCGATCGCCTGCGCGCCGAGCCCGGCGTGAGCGTCACGTCGAGCGAGAGCTGGATGTACGAGTGTCTCGGCGATGCCGCCCACCCGGCGTTTAAGCCTCTCATCACCATTGTCAAGGGCGCGGGCGAAAACACGAAAAACGTCCTAGCCAGCTTGCCTCCCATGCCCAAAATCTAGCTTGACAAGTTGGGAGTAAAGGATTTTTTAAAACTTTTGTATTTCGTTTTATTTGCTCGTATAGGTAGCAGGAGATACAATGGATATAGTATCTACTGTTAGAGAATCAACGGTCCCATACAGGACGGGTGAATTCTCCAGCAAGCTCAGTTTCGACTCAACTCTACAATACACTAAGCAACCATGTTGACGGACAAAATTGTCTCTCGCATCGTTTCTATGCAATGTGATATCCCGAAATCGGTGCCAAGGTTTGTCAGCAAAGCTCAGTCTTGCCCTGCCGAGCCTCTGGGCTTGCCACTCGGTGTCATCCATGAAAAGGCAGACGCCACACCAACTGGGTTTGCGCCGCGAGAACCAGGCGGTGCAGCGCTCTTGTCGCGCGCCGATGCATGCGACCTGGCCTCGCTCGTGGCACTTGCTGACCGCTTGAGATCCCTCTTGTGGTTCCCATTCATGCTCTCGCCTCCCACACTAGCCTGGCTCTTTCGTCGGCCGTCTGATCGCGAAGGGAGCGGTGCCTCGTACGCAGCTCCGGTTTTGGCAGAGGAACTAGACTTGCCTGGCTTCAACGTCTTCATGCCACGAGAGCCTCTGGTCGGCGCTGGCTGGTATCCACTAATTGGGGCTGCCTCTTTCTCATGCCCGCCGCTTGGCCCATGCCGCCACGAGCCCCAGACGCCAGCAGAGGATTCTCGTCTGGAAGATTCGGAGCCAGTAGCGTCTTCCTTTCCAGACAGAGCACCTCCATGGCTCGAGTCCCGCGGTCGTTTGTTTTCATTTGTGCTGCGACGGGACCGCGTGCTCCCGCGCCTCCTGCCTCTTGTATGTGAAACGACTGGAGACGTTGGCTCAGGAACATCGGCGTCCTCGCCAAGCGTGCCTGGTCGATGAGAGTGCGTCTCTCGCCCATTTCTATCCGCCTTTTCCGTAAGCACAAAAGGTGCTGCGGTCGCATTTAGCTTTTGCTTTTCAGGTAGCACGTTGGCGGTGCTGATATGTCGAAACACTTCGTCATCCTCAGGTCGTACAAATGGGACTCGCAGTCTGTCGCGGTCATTCCCATAGAGTACCATGGTATTTTGCGAAAACAAGATGTCTGCACAGTGCGCTCTCAACGCATCACTGCCAATGAAGATGCGGACGGGCTTGCGGTCCCCTGTAGGATTCGACTGGCCTAACCCAACGACTTCAAAGGCAACGGACATGGACGGTACCAGCCCTTCAGATCCCTCTGAACTACGACCACGCCTAGTCACAACCGCCTCTGCAAAATAAACTTGGAGACGAGCGCGACAGATTCCGTCCACATCCTTTTCAATTTCTTCCCCGAGGTTGAGCTCTTCGAGCAATGAGTAAGAAATAGTCGATCTTTGAGATCCGCTACAAATGTCAGCGTAGAGAAGTGTCCGATGGGCAAAGTTTGTCGTCAGCCAGCATCTGATAATTGACGGGACAGAGCCTAGGACAAAGAGAGAGATCGGAGGCTCAGGAATGCCAAAGGAAGACGCGTCGTCGTCGACAGCAGTGTCCGGGCCTACGCTGCTTGCGCGACCAGACGCGACAGAATGATGAGAGTGAATTGAATGTCCTGCGGAGCTGTGACGGCCATCAGATTTGTGGGAGAGGGTTCTTTCCATAAAAAGGCCACTTGCTGGACGCGAGCCAAACTCTCCTGAGTGTCGGTTGCTCTGCGCGCCACCCCAACCAGAACCGTGCAGTGCGCTCTCGTCAAATCGGACACTATTAGCTCTTGATGCGGCACCACGACGAACCGGTTCTTCTTCAGCAGGTCCTAGATGCAGCGACCCTAGAAGCTGCTCGCCTTGCTCATCAGAGTCATCAAACACGTCATTGTGGGGAATCTGAACAGGTCCTGTAAAGTGTGAATAATGTTGTACGAGTGTTTTAGGGACGTAGAAGATATGTTGAGGTAGTTCGTACCTTGTTGGGGTGTGCCTGCAAGAACTCCGGGGAATGGCGAGTTCCATACTGACTTGATCGCTGAATCATCCGTTTGTCGCTTCTCTAATCGCGATATCCTCTCGGCGTGATTCGTCTGGGAATACTGGACCGCCTTTACCTCCATTTGGAGATTATACAAGTCCTCTGGCGTGATCTGGAATTGATGGTCCATGCTCGTAAACCAGCCAGGTTATTTGCGACAAATATGCGCAGCTGCATGGGCATGGCCCAACAAGGACAGGGATACCAGCCGAACGGCGTGCGGAATCTGGATTTAACGAGCCTTGGAACGGTGGATTCGTCTATGATACTGCCAAGCTTGAATGGATATTGCACGAGGACCGGGCCGAGTCCCAAGAGGAGCGCTATTTCGCAGGTGAGGCGCGAGTCGACCGGGGTAGTATCTACGATCGCAATGCCGTGACTGTGGACGATTGAGAGCTGCGCCTGGGAAAGATAACGTGGGGGTGCAATATTGTATCGGTGAGGCAATTTTTTTTTTTGTATAGCAGCTAGCTTGTGTGTGTCAGAGTCTCGCGGTCAAGGCAATGCGGTAGTGTGGCTGCGTGTTCGTTCGTTCGTTCGTTTGAGGGTCCAGCTCAGAGAACCGTCACTCGCTTGGCTGCAAGGTACTGATGCTGCGGGGAAACAGGCGCTGAAGGGTGGTCGAGGTATTCACTCGCAAAACAGTGTGCGTGCAGGCGAAGTGAAGTTTGCGCACAAATGTGCTTGGTGTAACAAGAGAGTGCGTTGCTGGAGGCAAGTTTGAGATGGAGTGACCAGTTAGCGCCAAGGTGATGAACGATGTTGTAGACGAGAGACTGGCGTCGCCCTGCGTTTGGGGACGGTCAAACAGCTTGGGGCTGGTGGGGATGGCGGGGAGTTTAGTTATTAGTGCCAGTAGCCCCTACAGGTACCTGTCATTAGTGCTGGTTACAGTGGTTCAAAAGTGATGTGCAAGGTACCAAACTACCTACATATACAGCAAATAGAATAGCCATATCGAGCCATGCCTACGAATACCATTGCATTGATTCTATACTCTATATAAACTCCTCTTTCGTATCCACCCTACTCTCCTTTCTTCGGCTCAAATGTCCTCCAGTCTGGAAACATGTACCCAGCTCGGTCTCCCTCTGGTAGATGAAGCCACTCATGTCCAATATGAGGCCACACAATCTTGTAAAATTCCTTGTACGCCATTCCACCTAGATGCAGCCCATCTGGAAGTAGTTTCTTGAATCCTGCGCGTTTGCCATTCTCTGGCGTGCCTGGCAAAGGTCCGCCCTTTTCATAGTCTCCCGGAACCATATCAATGGCCTTGTCCATCAGCACCTGGTACAAATCAATGAGCGTCACATTCTCATATCGCGCAGCCACATCCCGCGCTTTCTGCGAATATTGGGCGCTGACTGCTGCGTGGCGGATGCTGCACGGATGCCCCTCTGCCTTATCGTCCTCGGCCGTCTTGATCTCGTCCAGTGGTGGCGGCGTCACAAGCAAAATCTTGGGATTATGCGCGCGAATGCGTGGATGGTCAATGATTTTGCACAAATTCTCGCCATACTGTTCAAGAGGAACATGCTGCCAAGTGCTCGGGAGCGGTAAGACTGCGTCGTTTGCGCCTAGGAGAATAACCTGCTTGTGTTAGCTGCCACCCCGTACCCGTGTCTCGAACTCTACTCATCGTACGAGATATTTTATTTCCGGAGAGGATGGCGTCTTCTTTGGGAAAAGGCGATCAAAGTACTCCAAGACATTGGCCGTATTGTACCCAGACAAGCCGCGATTCACAATATCCAAACGACGGGAATATCCTAGACATCGTGTCAGAATGGGGCTTGCTGTCTATTCTAAAATAGTCATTTACTCGACTGAAGAGCCGCTTCAAACGAAAAGCCCTCGTCGGTCTCAACGGAGAACTGGAACAGTGAGTCGCCCAGCAAAACGACTTGTGGGTAGGATACCTACCAAGTAGCATTGTTAGTCTGAGGTAGCAGCTTTCAGTACATGTACCACTTACAGCCATTTTTTCTGTAAAATTGTACAAAACAGAAACAAATATCAAAATTGAGGGAATTCACGATACATTCAAGGAGTATAAGGCAACCGCACTCAAGTATGTCGACATGAATGGTGCCCCTCCGGCCCCTCTTTGGTGATGAGTAAGTTGGTAAGAGAAGCCAAGAAAGAGCACATCGAGTCGCTGCATATTTCCAAGAATTTTATCCAGGTGAACTTTACAGCTACGTGATTGACAAAGAACTTTCTGAGTTCAAATTTTTTTACAATTCTGATTTCCCCGTTGTTTCTGCAAGAACACGATTCCATGCAGCAGTTAAGGTGACACGAACGTCATGTGATCATATGCAAGTCATCTTATCGATAAGCCCAATTGCTGGTCAGCTTTTTTGGCAAAAAAAAAATCCTGTCCGCCAGCACCAGCTTCATTTACAGGCCAGCCTCCCCGCCAATTGTCACGCTCATTTTCACCACGACAACGGCCTGAATTCCTTACAATGGCGACCTCTCTCGCTGCGCAGTTGGCGCAAGTGGCCGCAAATTCAAAGTCGTCCTTGAGTGTCAAGGCTCAAAAAGCAGCGCACTCGAAATCGCTAATTTGGGAGCCCAAGATTGCTGCCACTCAAAGCCTGCAGACCCTCTATGCAACTTGTTTTCAGGGCTTCGAAGATCTTTGCCAATTGGATGCCAGATTTGTGCCCTTCGGAGCTACTATATTCAGCGAAGAGAGCCAGGACCAGGACCGATTCCAGCTCACATCTTCCGAAAATGATGAGCTCAGCCGCCAAATAGACGCCTTTTTGCGCCTTGTTGGTGGCCGCCTCCGCCTAATGCCAGCAGTCAAAGCTGTCGAATGGCTCATCCGACGATTTAGGTACGTCTCGCTTGCATCTCGAATCAATTCGTTGCTGATTTCCTTTCAGAATCCACGAGGAAAACACCGTCTCACTGGTCCTTGCATTCCTGCCGTATCATTCCATTTCTGCATTCGCTACACTACTCTCAATACTACCGCAGCCAGTTCCCCACGAACTACGATTCCTCAATCCATACATTCGATCTCTTACTGCGCCTCCGCGCTCTATTCTCGTGCATCAAGCTATCAACCACCCCGAGTTCCTGTCGCTTATTTCAGAGTACACCCTCGAATCCTGCCGAAAGCAACATCACTATCCTGCCCTGGTCACATTCTGGGCTGGCTTGATGACTGAATCCGTCAATGGCCTACTTGACAGGGCAAAATCAGGACGCTCTGCAGTCCAGGCAGAAAATACACAAGCTTTGCTACACAGACTGGGTCCCATCTTCGCCGAGTCGCTCATGATGAAGTCGGTGCCCAGCCTTCAGATCGCGTCTTACATGGCCATGACAGTGTTCGTATCCAAGGGAAGCCTCGAGGACGCCGCAGTTACTGCGTTTATGCAACAGACCGTGCTTGGCTGGTCATCCGAGACGATACGGCCTGGTCTTGTCTGCTTGACCATTATGGCCCAGTTTAGATCCGCAAAGCAGATGAACAGCAAAGTCACAAAGGCTCTCATGAAGGTTTCGGATGTTGGCGCTCTCCTTGTTGAGATTGGCAAAGAGCGGAGCGTTGATAAGCTCGCCAACGGCCTCTGCTTGGCGTTGATCGAGCGACTTACCAAGAAGGGGGATGCCCGTGGCCTCACAACTATCATGTCTATTCTAAGCGGTGGGATCCTTAAGGAGAAGCAGACTGTCGTAGTCTTCAAGTCTCTACTACTCACAGCTCTGAAGCTCAGCGATGACAACGACCAGGACGGGTCTCTTAGAAGGGAACTCGGCTCTGTGCTAATTGCACTTTCTCAAATCTCCGGCAAGGTTGGCGATATTGTGCAGTCAGTCATTAAAGAAGTCGAATTCGACATTGAGGAGCTCGAAATGAAGCTTGACTTATCTTTCCGATCTCGCCGACAGCCCGAAGCCACCCAAGCTGATGCGGCTCCAGTCGCTCCCCTCCAAGCCGAAACCCGTGACGATATCGAAAGGACCATTGACGATCTCAACTCGCGCTCTGAGGTTTTGTCAATTTGCCTGGTACCCCAGCCAAGTGAAATATTCAACGAATTCAGCCACCTTTTCTTCTCCATTGTCTCTGAACACTCGAAGGACACGGCCCTGCTCTCTCGCTTTGAAGAGGGCTCTAAGTTGCGCCGCCAAACAGCTTTCAACGACTGCGGTTTCTACAGCTTCTTCATGCGTATTTGGTCTGGTCCGTACCCTGCTCTCGCTCGCACGGCAGCCCTGGATGTGGTGAAGAACAATGTGAAAGCCAGCGAGGATGCCAAGGTTGACATGCAGCACTTGATCCCCTACTGCGTTACCGCGCTCTCCGATCCTTCGAAGCGGGTCCGACGCTCTGCAGCGGATCTTCTCGTTGTTCTCTCGAACCGATATACGGCAAAGGCGAGTTTTAAGTCGGTCTGGGGCGCAGGCACGCTATACGGGGAGGCCAAGGATGGAGAGCCTCTTGCTTCTGATATTGTCACCCGACTACTGCATCTTCAGCTTTTGCCCACTATTGAAGAATGCGTGATGGATCCCAACCACATCGACGTCGTGATCAAGACCACCATCGAGCAAGGCACATACTATGTCAAGTCTGACACTTCTTTGGGTAAGAAGGATCATATGTCCTCATCTAGCAGGCTTTCTCTGCTGTTATTCTTCTCTGGGCATGCTGTTGGGACTCCGATACTTCTAGTGAAGGAAAGACTACTCAAGGTTCTAAATGGGGTAAAGGGCGCTAGCGGCACTTCCCGAACAAAAACGCTACTGCCTGCACTCAAGTGGTGGGCAACTCTGAGCAATAAGGAAATCGAGACCATGTGCCGCGCGGAACACATTGAAAGAGCGGAAGCGGATGCTCGGTTCGTGGATGTTGTTGTACCAAATGATACGACAGGTCTTGAATTCTTCATTGAAACCTTGACCAGCACTGAGGTCAACGAAAAGCCTGATCTTGTCCAGGCGATCTTTATCCGCATACGGAAAATGTGGCCGCTCATGAAAGATGACTCGAAGTTCACCGTGGCACAGCAGTTTCTGGAGCTTTCGCAGGAGTCGGGTGACGAGGACTCGACTCCCGTCGTAGCGACAGAGGCCTCGGACCTTCTCAGAACTGTACCTCTCACCACTGAGATCCTGTCGCACTTCTTGGACTCAATTCAGACCGGTACCAAGATGATTACAGAGCCGCCACCAAACAAGAGACGCCGCACTAGCTCTACTGACGGCAACCGTGAGCTCATTATGCAAGTGACTCCTGAGTTGAGCAAGGCCCTGCGCAAAGTCACCTTTGTTTTGCAGTTGGTGGACAACTCCGAGCCCATCAATCATCCGGAGCTGCTCGATGGCCTGTTTACAGCTCTCTCTGAACTGCAACACTTTAGAACTGTGGTTGGCTCAGAACTCGGCTATTTGCAGAACCTCATTCTTCGCAGCCTGTTGGCCATGATGCCTGCCTACAAAGCGAACGAGAATCTGGATATCGACAGCTCAGGTGGCTACGGCGACTTGCTGGTTAACTGCATTCAGAAGTCTTCTAGCCCTGTTGTTCAAAATGCCGCCCTGCTCCTCATCGCCAACCTAGCAACCACGGCTCCAAGCTTGGTGCTGCATAGTGTCATGCCCATCTTTACTTTCATGGGCGCTTCTGTCCTACGTCAAAACGACGACTACTCTGCTCACGTTGTTTCTCAAACTATTAAGGAGGTTGTTCCGCCACTCATCGCCAGTCTTCGCAAGGGCCAAAAGAATCCTCTTGCGGGTGCATCTGATATTCTGGTCAGCTTCACAACCGCTTATGAGCATGTTCCATCTCACCGACGACCAAGCCTGTTTCTCGCCTTGGTGGAAACTCTCGGTCCCAAGGATTTCTTGTTTGCTCTAATTAGCATGCTTGTCAGCCGCTACGACGCAAGCGACGACATGCTGCAATTCAGTGCCGAACTTCTTGATGAGTTTAGTATCGACATTCAGCTCGAGACGCTGGTGAAACTTCTTGGTCTTACTGCTGACCTGTTCAAGACCAAGCCTGGTCTTTCCGCCACTCTTTTTGGAGCTGGCGAGGACGGCGAGCTTAAAGATGTTAGCAAGGTCGCTCTTCGCCAGTTGACCGCCTTCCCCAGTCTTTTGTCAAGCAAGGCGCTTGTTTCACAGATTGCCAAGCTTGAGGACCGCGACGATATGGAAGCTGCAGAAATTCGCTCGACGTATGCCACATTGTTAGAGAATGTTCTTTTGCTGTCCGATACTGTCAAAGCCAACAAGGCTCTCCGCGCCCGCTGTGGGGTTACGCTTGCCAACCTGCTCAACCTTCTCTCTATCGGCGAATTCATCAAAGCCGTCGAAAACCTTCTGGATAGGCCTGACTTGACCTTGCGACAAAAGGTGCTCAAGGCTCTCGAGGCTCGGGTTGAGTCAGAGAGCAACAACAACCCTGATGCAAGAATCGCACTTTTGACGTTCCTGCCTCAGCTCACTGCCGCCATCCGTGAGTCGCAAGACATTCGCTATAAGCACACTGCCGTTACATGTGTGGATAAGATTGCAGAGAAGTATGGCAAGAAGGATATCGAAGCCGTCGTTGCTGCGGCATCTACAATTGCTGGAGAGCACTGTCTGGGACAGAGTGAGAGGCTTCTACGCACCATGGCGCTGCTTTGTCTGACTTCCTTGGTGGATGTCTTGCAAGAAGCCATTGTCCCAGTGCTGCCGCTTGCTGTGCCAAGGGCCATTGCCTATTTGGAGCAGAGCCTGGATGCGGACTCTGTAGATGAGGAGCTACACTCGGCCAGTTACGGTCTCCTAGCCTCGCTTGCAGAGCACTTGCCTTACATGTTGTCCACTTATATGGACGACATATTGCGTGTATCAAACACCTCGGCTACCGCTGACCTGGAGGCTGAGACCAATGGCAACCGCGTGCTTTGTCTCGAGGTCCTTGCCAAGAAGATGGATGCTAAGGAAATGCTTATGAGTTTAGATCGCAATTGGGAATCTGCCCTGTCGGCGGGTCCTTTGGTGAGTAATATCTCACAATCAGTCGCAAAACGTGGGGCAGTTACTAACGGGATGACGCGCCAGGCCTTGACTGAATTTATCAAGATCCTCGGCACAACTATCGAAAGCCAGTCGAAGGGAGTAGTTGCCAAGAATTCTGGTGTTATCTCTGGTATTTTCTTAAAGGCTTTTGATCTTCGACGCCGCATCCTTTTAGCCGGTGAAGGTGGGGAGAAGGTTCTGCGGCAAATATCGGAGCTGGAAGCTGCAGTGTATGAAACGGCGCTGAAGATGATTTACAAGCTGAACGATGCTGCATTCCGCCCCGTTTTCCAGCAGTTTGTCGAGTGGCCTGGCTCCAAGGTGGCGAAATCGGACAGCACCGGACGCGCGTTGCAGCAGCTTGCCGTGTACGGGTTCCTTCAAACCTTTTTCGACAACCTCAAGTCGATTGTGACGAATTACGCTACGTACGTGCTGGACGATGCAGTCAAGATTCTCGGCCAGATTCAGCCACAGGCGAATGATGAGAGCCGAGACTTGTGGAGACGGGTGCTTGGCACGCTGAGCAAGTGCTTCGAGCACGACCAGGATGACTTTTGGCAGGCGCCAGCACACTTTGAAGCGATTGCGCCGGTGCTGCTGCAACAGTTCCTGCTGGCCCCGCAGATGGATATGGAAACAGATTTGATCCCTGCGACGGTGGAGCTAGCTGCGGCGGCGGATTCGCAGGCACATCAAAAGGAACTCAATTCGGGTCTGCTGCTGCACCTGCGCTCGGAGCAGACGGCTGTGCGACTGGCAGCGGTCAAGTGTGAGCAGGCGCTGACGGACAGGCTGGGTGAGGAGTGGATGTCTATGCTGCACGAGATGCTGCCGAGGATCAGCGAGCTGCAGGAGGATGACGACGAAGTTGTGGAGAGGGAGACTCATAGATGGATCGTCAAGATTGAGGGCGTACTAGGCGAGAGCCTGGACGCAATGCTGCAGTAAAATGGGGAGGTTGACAGACACGAGGTTTCGTTTGTTGGTTTGGTGCATTTTCCATGATTTTGAGAAACGGAGTATTGGGTCATTAAAATGGATTTCAGGCATATCTTTGTACACAACTTTACATATCCTGGCTTACGCTGTGTTGAGGAAAACAATCAAGAAGAACAGCTCTGTCCGAGAGAGCAAGCAGCAAAGAACCAACGAGGAACAGCAACGAACGGACTTTACAAATGGATCGGCAGAAAACGCGACTTATTTATCAATAGTAGGAACTTGCCGGGAATGGCTCCTCGGGGCCCGAAACGTCACCGTTGTCAGCTGCTAAAGACGCTGACTATCGGATCCGCGGAGCCGCATTCATCGTGCAGGGCTAACTATGGGACAAACGCTGGGCCAAAAAGTATATGCGGTTTATACCCAAGCCAGAAGCAAACAAACTAGCGGGCTTGTTGGGCTCTCCGGTTAGCGGTTAACGGTTGACGGTAATGGGCCTCAGCAGCGATGCGGGCGCTCCGGGGACTCCGGCGAATTATCGTCCTCGAAAAGAAGAGTCATCGGTTGCGACGAAGCGAAAAGGAGGGTGCTATTTAAGATGTCTTGTTCGCATCAGCCAATTGGGTCAAGATGATTACGCTCGACCAATCTATTACTGATGGTGCCTGGCTTCGACGACGACTTTTGAAAGCGCAAGCACATGCCGAAAACCTTAAGCTTCCTAACTAGTGCGGGATCTACGGTCTCTTTTTAGCTGCTGATATCGGTGATATCATTAGTGCGTACCCTGCACCCACCACTGGCGAATTATTTCGCTGCCGTTGCGCTTTGCCGGATAATTAGAACATCGTTCTCTTTATTGGAAAGTGTTATAAAGATGAATGGTCTTTGTGGAATCACAAAAATGCAGGCAAGGCGTGCCACGACAGTTATCAACTGCACAAGAACAGCGAGAGCAGTCTTGGCTAATGTACGACCTCAAAGCACAACTACTACAACCCCAGCGAGTGAGCTATACCGATATCTATTCTACCCTCACCGCACTCATCAACTAATCAATCGTAGGAAAAAAGGGCGAAAGGGAAAGAATCGTCATTCTGGGCTCCGGCTGGGCCGGCTATGCCCTCGCCCAGACCATCAAGCCCTCGAAAGCCTCACGCGTGCTCATCTCGCCGCGGTCGCACTTTGTCTTTACGCCTCTCCTCGCCTCGACGACGGTGGGCACGCTCGAGTTCCGGGCCTCGATCGAACCCGTGCGCCGTCTCGGCCTCGACGAGTTCCACCAGGCATGGGCGTCGGACATTGACTTTGCGACCAAGACGATCCGTCTCGAGGCCAACACGATGAGCGACACAGCCGGCACGCAGACGAGCACGCTCCGGGGGCCGGCCAAGGGCCCCGAGTTCTCCATCACCTACGACACGCTCGTCATCGCCGTCGGCTGCTACAGCCAGACGTTTGGCACCGAGGGCGTGGCGCAGCATGCCAACTTTCTCCGTGACGTCGGGGACGCGCGCGCCATCCGCCTCAAGGTGCTGACGGCGTTTGAAAAGGCCGACCTGCCGTCAGCGACGGACGCGCAGCGCGCCGAGCTGCTGCACTTTGCCATTGTCGGCGGCGGCCCGACGGGCATCGAGTTCGCGGCCGAGCTACACGATCTGGTCCACGAGGACCTCGCCAAGCTGTACCCGGCGCTCATGCGCTTCGTGCGCGTCACCGTCTACGACATTGCGCCCAAGGTGCTGCCCATGTTCGACCAGGCCCTCGCCAGCTACGCCATGGACCTGTTCCGCCGCCAGGGCATCGAGGTCAAGACGGAGCACTCGCTGCAGAGCATCCGCCGCACCGACGACGGCATCCTCAAGCTGCGCCTCAAGGGCCACGACGCCGAGGTCGGCGCCGGCCTGCTCGTGTGGAGCACCGGCTTGATGCAGAACCCGCTCGTCGCGCGGCTGCTGCGGCAGGATATCCCCGGCCTGGGCCGGATCGTCGAGGACGACCGCACCGGCGGCATCACCACCGACGGCGCCATGCGCGTGCTCACCCGGCCCGTGGGCGGCGGCGCCCCCGTCCCGCTGCCCGACGTGTACGCCATCGGCGACTGCACCGTCCAGGTGGCGCACCGGCTGCCGGCCACGGCCCAGGTCGCCAGCCAGCAGGCCACCTGGCTCGGCAAGCGCATCAACAGTGGCAACGCCAACGCCGACGGCGAGTTTATCTTTCGCAACTGGGGCGCCATGGCGTACCTCGGCAGCAAACGCGCCATTCACCAAAACGGCGCCGACGGCCTCCGGGGCTGGCCGGCGTGGATCCTATGGCGCACGGCGTACCTGACCAAGAGCATGAGCTGGCGTAACAAGCTCAAGATTCCGCTGCAGTGGCTGATTACGGCCCTGTTTGGACGCGACATTTCGAGATTCTGAGGTCGCATGTCAAGCCTCTATACTGCGAGGTTCATGCTTCTGTTTGTTTCTTCTTTTACAAAAATTTTATTCCAGCGCTGCAATTATTGGGACGGCATTAGATCGGCACATGGTAACTGGAGAGCGGAACTTGACAGGCTTGGGTATGGTAAGCAGGCGTGGGTAGGTTTCACGGGCATCATTCAATTCAATAAATAGCATCTTCAATCTGATCATAATACATCTTCACTGCCATGTCATAATCTTGTACGTGGCCCTTGGCCGCCGATCGTAGCCGGCACCGGCGCACAAAGCTCCATAATTCCATCACCACTCGGCCCCGCCAGGCTCCCACTCCTGTGAGTGAGTTTCTGGATATCAACATCTCGAAGTTCACATTGCACCCATCCTCTGCAGATTTTCCATCCCTCGTTCTCAAACCATCCACCTCCCCGAGACGACAGCACAGGCCCGGCGCACCATGCTCCCGCTCCTCACACCGAAGCGCGCGACCACCTCGCCGCCGCCGCCGCCGCCCAACTACGGCGTCTACCTCGTCACCGACTCGACGCCCGCCATCCTCGGCAGCCGGGACCTCGTCGCCGTCGTCGAGGCGGCGCTCCGGGGCGGTGTCACGTGCGTGCAGTACCGGGACAAGCACGGCGCTCCGGCGGCCGTCGTGGCGACGGCGCGGCGCCTGCACGCGCTCACGCAGCGCTACGGCGTGCCGCTGCTCATCAACGACCGCGTCGACGTCGCCGTCCAGGTCGGCTGCGAGGGCGTCCATATTGGCCAGGACGACATGGGTGAGTTTGGCGTTGCCGCAGTGAGGGGGTTTGTGGTGAAGTGAAATTGCCCGGGGGTTTTGGCTAATTCGCAAGGACGGTAGATGTGCACCAGGCTCGTACACTCCTCGGAAGTGGCAAGATTGTGGGCGTCACTGCCAGCAACGTCGACGAAGCCATCAAAGCGTGCCAAGACGGCGCCGACTATCTCGGCATCGGCACCGTCTACTCTACCGCCACGTGCGTCTCACCGGCCCCCCCTCGCGGACATTGAACCCTGCTCACCACCCCATTCCGCAGTAAAAAAGACACAAAGTCCATCATCGGACCTTCGGGCGTGCGCGCCATTCTCAAAGCCATGGCGGCCGGCGGCTACGGCGCCGTGCCCACCGTCTGCATCGGGGGCGTCCACACCGACAACGCGGCCGCAGTCCTCGCGCAGTCGAGCGCCGCGCCGGCCAAGTCCCTCTCGGGCGTCGCCGTCGTCAGCGCCATCATCGCCGCCGAGGACCCCGCCGAGGCGGCCCGGCAACTTGCCGGGCACGTGGCCGTGGCCGCGATCCCGCTCGTTGTCGGCGCCGTGGGGCGCGCGACGCCGCTCTCCCACAACATGACGAATCTTGTAAGCGCGGCCCTAGTTATGCCGTTTTCGCATCCCGCATCTTGAGAAAATCTACTAACAGCCGCGCCCTCCTCATAGGTTGTGCAAAACTTTGCCGCCAACGTGGCCCTCGCCGTCGGCGCCAGCCCCATCATGTCCAACTACGCCGCCGAGGCCGGCGACCTCGCCAAGCTGGGCGGCGCCTTGGTCGTCAACATGGGCACCGTGACGCCCGAAGGTCTCGCCAACTACAAGCAGGCCATCCAGGCCTACAACGACGCAGACCGTCCCATCATCCTGGACCCCGTCGGGTAACGCCCCCCCCCCCCCCCGCCGAACCATTTGTCCCTTCTTTACTAACCCGTCATTCCCTTTCTCAGCGCCGGCGCCACGGCCATCCGCCGCGCAGCCTCGGCTGAGATGCTCGCCGTCGGGCGCTTCGCCGTCATCAAGGGCAACGTGGCGGAGCTGCAGACGCTTCTGGGGCAGGCAGTCACGCAGCGGGGCGTGGACTCGACGGCCGAGGTGGACGTGGCGTCGCGCGCGCGGCTCGCTGCGCGCTCG